AAGAATGAAGGGCCGGACCTCACTCGGGGCTAGTGGTGCAGCTGCAAGACATGTAGTTTTCTGCTTGCGCGAGACTCTTGGCTTGCACATTGGCGTTTGGACTGGTGTAGCCCTCGGCAGTACAACTCGGGCCTTTCTAGCGACAACCTTGCAGGCGGCGGTCACAGAGCATGCGACGGCGGTCGATGATATGGAGGAAGCCAAACAGGCGGCCGGCCCCTTCCAAGAAGATCTCCGAGCTGTACACAAGGTAAAAGAAGTAAGTGCTTCATTCGCGAGAAAAAATAAAGGAGGCAAACTCACCAGTCTACTTTTTGTGTTTGTCGTGGTGCATGTGACAATAAAGCCTCATCAGAATACGAAAAATTGACAATGCATAGACTCACCAGTTTAGTTTTTGTATTTGTCGTGGTGCATGTGACGGCTCATTGGATAAAGATCAAATGAACAAATCCTCAACTTCGACACGTAGTGTGATAAAGTCTAGTATTGACACATCACAGACACTGGCTCACGTCATTGAGCGCCTGGAGGATATGGAGTTCGATGTGCATCTTGTTCCACACTGTTTTTCCCCTGACCGGAGTGCGTCCACTAGAGTGCTTCTTGTTCCCGAAGAGCATTACGCAGTGCCGTTCACGAACAGACAACCGAATGCAAACCAGCGCATGTGCGATGAGGAGGACCTTCAAGATCAGAGCAGCGGCGAAATGCGACCACACCTACGCGTTTTTGTTGACGTGCGCACCAGCGTCAATGACAATCGCCCAGTCCAAACCTGCGACCAGAGTTCGTCACTGCAAGACGCCCTGCCAAACCAGGACCTGCGGGTTCATCATTCCAGCCGTTGGGGAGGAAGAACACAGGAGGTCGTGAAGAACATGAAAGGGACGACCATTTGGCCTGTGATATCTGGAGCGCAACTAGGTCACGCGAAAGTGCCAAACTTCTTCGCATCGTGGGACCGCACCCGTCGAACTGACGATGAAATGGAGAAAATCCAAATCGGAGTCTTGCAACCAGATGGAGACCTGCAATCGATCGAGTACTTCTCAATTTTCTCAGAGTTAAATTTTTATTTTTATGCTTCAAAGTCATGTTTCCAGATCTTCAAGTTTGAACAAACGAGAACGTAAACAAATTTAGGTAGCGAAATACAACCCTGTAGTTGGGGTGCAAGCAGGTCTCTGTGACTTTCTTTCCAAGAGCCCGGGGTCCGCAAAAATGAAGTACAGTTCATACACCACATTCTGATTAAGATATCTCTGAAAACAAAAATTTGCAGCCGTCCGCAGGGAAGAGTATCACGCAACGTCTTGCCATCCCAACACAAATTTGCAGCGGGTGACGCGAAATTTGCAGAGCAAGTCAACAGGCCTGATCGTGAATGCGCCTTGCACAAAGGGTTGTGGCATCCACGATATGGTCACCACCAAGAAAGCCGCCACGCTGATGAGACGCAGGAAATTGCTACGGTCCATTACACTTTTCCCGACGTTGTTGAACTTCCGTTGTTTCTCAATGGACATCCGCTTAAGCGGCGGACAATACACGTTCAACATTGGTATGGGGATCGCGCTCCTTTCCTGGAGACCGTCCGCGACTTTGTTCTTCACGCGCTGGAACTTGATCAGGTCACAGAGCGAGTAGCGCTTGAAGCCGGAAGCTTCTATGTCGCGGTCGTAAGAGCAGTAGAACCAGGCCGCTCTACAAGTCCGTCCTTCCGCGCAAACGCAGAGCAGCTTTTCCGCGACCGTGGTCGCCGCCGTGCACGGACACAGAGTGAGGTCGTGGATTCACCAGATAATTCTCGTGATGAAAATTGCAGATTTGCGGGCGTGCAGGTACATATGTCGCTTGGTGGCTCGCCGTTTTTGGCCTTGTGTGAGTCCGACTTGCTCAGAGAAGTATACGATAACGCCTTCACCGGAGTCGGGGATACAAATCTGCTGCATCACGGACACGCAGTTTATTTTCCAGTCGGTACCCGGGGCGAAATGTTGGTGGACAAGCTGCATTGTGATTCGCGTGAACAAGCGCAGGAGCAGGACTCGTTTCTCAGCANCTCACCAGTTTAGTTTTTGTGTTTGTCGTGGTGCATGTGACAATAAAGCCTCATCAGAATACGAAAAATTGACAATAGATTCACCAGTTTAGTTTTTGTGTTTGTCGTGGTGCATGTGACGGCTCATTGGATAAAGATCAAATGAACAAATCCTCAACTTCGACACGTAAGTAGTCGTAGTGTGATAAAGTCTAGTATTGACGCATCACAGACACTGGCTCACGTCATTGAGCGCCTGGAGAATATGGAGTTCGATGTGCATCTTGTTCCACACTGTTTTTCCCCTGACCGGAGTGCGTCCACTAGAGTGCTTCTTGTTCCCGAAGAGCATTACGCAGTGCCGTTCACGAACAGACAACCGAATGCAAACCAGCGCATTTGCGATGAGGAGGACCTTCAAGATCAGAGCAGCGGCGAAATTCGACCACACCTACGCGTTTTTGTTGACGTGCGCACCAGCGTCAATGACAATCGCCCAGTCCAAACCTGCGACCAGAGTTCGTCACTGCAAGACGCCCTGCCAAACCAGGACCTGCGGGTTCATCATTCCAGCCGTTGGGGAGGAAGAACACAGGAGGTCGTGAAGAACATGAAAGGGACGACCACTTGGCCTGTGATATCGGGAGCGCAACTAGGTCACGCGAAAGTGCCAAACTTCTTCGCATCGTGGGACCGCACCCGTCGAACTGACGATGAAATGGAGAAATTCCAAATCGGAGTCTTGCAACCAGATGGAAGCCTGCAATCGATCGAGTACTTCTCAATTTTCTCGGAGTCAGTTTTATTTTTATGCTTCAAGGTCAGTCTTGCACATGCTCTTGCATGTTTCCAGATCAAGTTTGAACAAACGAGGAGAACGTCAAAAAATTTAGCGAAATACAACCCTGTAGTTGGGGTACAAGCAGGTCTCTGTGACTTTCTTTCCAAGAGCTCGGGCTCCGTAAAAATGAAGTACAGTTCATACAGCACCACACTCTGATTAAGATTTTTCTGAAAACAAAAATTTGCAGCCGTCCGCAGGGAAGAGTATCACGCAACGTCTTGCCATCCCAACACATCTTTGCAGGGGGTGACGCGAAATTTGCAGAGCAAGTCAACAGGCCTGATCGTGAATGCGCCTTGCACAAAGGGTTGTGGCATCCACGATATGATCACTACCAAGAAAGCCGCCACGCTGATGAAACGCAGGAAATTGCTACGGTCCATTACACTTTTCCCGACGTTGTTGAACTTCCGGTGTTTCTCAATGGACATCCCCTTAAGCGGCGGACAATACACGTTCAACATTGGTATGGGGATCGTGCTCCTTTCCTGGAGACCGTCCGCGACTTTGTTCTTCACGCGCTGGAACTTGATCAGGTCACAGAGCGAGTAGCGCTTGAAGCCGGAAGCTTCTATGTCGCGGTCGTAAGAGCAACAGAACCAGGCCGCTCTACAAGTTCGTCCTTCCGCGCAAGCGCAGAGCAGCTTTTCCGCGACCGTGGTCGCCGCCGTGCACGGACACAGGGTGAGGTCGTGGATTCACCAGATAATTCTCGTGATGAAGATTGCAGATTCGCGGGCGTGCAGGTACATGTGTCGCTTGGTGGCTTGTCGTTTTTGGCCTTGTGTGAGTCCGACTTGCTCAGAGTAGTATACGATAACGCCTTCACCGGAGTCGGGGATACAAATCTGCTGCATCACGGACACGCAGTTTATTTTCCAGTCGGTACCCGGGGCGAAATGTTGGTGGACAAGCTGCATTGTGATTCGCCTTCGCGTGAACAAGCGCAGGAGCAGGACTCGTTTCTCAGCAGCTCTTCTGTTCTCCTGGTACAGACGTGCACCTCGACAGAAGGCGACGCGTCATGCCCAGTTTCTCTCACTCAGGCACTGTCCACTGATTTTCTCCAACACTTGACGTTGCCGACTCGCTCTTGGCGGAGCAAAGGAGCACCTAGCACCACGGCTGAAGTAGTGCTAAAGTCCTCGCAGACGGAGCTCGAGTCAACAAGGTATCTAAGCTCTGCTTCTGGGCATGGAGGAGGATCTGCTCCACATGTAGGCCCAGCCAAAACGCGCCCTGCCGAGGAGAACGCTTCCACTGAAGCTGGAGTGATGCGATCCCGGCTAGGGCCTGTGATCTTCCAGCAAGCGTAGAAAGATGTTTTTCGCTTCCTTACGCCATGGCCAAATCTTGTCGTTTCGCGCCACGTGGGGACACTGTACATACCGATCAAGCCGCATGGAGATCAAATGGACCCGCTCTCGCAAGATGACGCCGGCAACTTCGTCGTCATATCAGAGTCCGAAGAAGTTTATCTTGTCACGCAGCAAAGGGGCCTCAAAAATCTCAGCTTTGAATCTTGTGCAGCAGAATGTTTCAATAGTTACACAGCGTTGGGCCGAAGATGCTGGCGCTTTGCGTATCGGGAGCAAGAGTCCGTGTGGCCGTGCGAGTTGCACTTTCAACTTCCGTCCACGATCGAGCAAGTTAGCTGGCGGCGCGAGCGGTGTGACGCATGTACTACCGGAGTGCTTAGCAGTCTAGGCTCCTCAGATTCGGTCATCACTACAAACCCTATTCTTACCTACAACGAGAAAGGACGAGCTTGGGAGTGGATTGAAGCCGAAGTGCTAGGTCGCGTGACGGAAGTGGACACGACAACGGTGCGCATCCAGTTCTCAGGTTTTGCAGGAATGCGGTGCGTCTTTGGTCATTATCTCACGGGACGGCTCGATCACGCACTCGAGAAGATCGAGCGGCGCGGTGTCCAGGTACAAGGCTTGCCGTGGCCGCATTTGAATGGCGAGTACGTGGTAACTAACCTGTCCAACTCGCGCTCGGGCACCATCCTGTCACATGTTGACAGCATATCAGTCACACGACATTCGCCTCTCCACCCGCGAGAACCGCCCGCTTTGAGATGTCCGACGGCGTGTGGCGCCTTGTCGAGAAAGTCCAGAACAGGGTATCCATTCTAGCAGAAGGCAAACCGGGCGTCCGAGACTCGTATCAGTACTTGCGGACGACTGGATCGTGGCAAACTGGCCAAAACTTTTTGGGCAGTACGGGGCAATTGTTTTTCTCTCCAGCTGGCGTGCAAATTTGGACCTCCGGCGTCACGAAGACCGAAAATTTCGCCCAGGTTGTGATCTTCGCTATCGGGGAGCACTTGCATTTCCCGTACAAACCGCATGAGCCAGCTACTGGGAGCGGATTTTCGCCCAGCGCCGCACCGTCGCGTGGAGCTGGGCCTTGGGCCAGTGTTGAGGCTCCTCCCCTGCAACTACCCTGGAAATGGATTGTGGACGGCGCCGACTGGCAATCACGACAAGGCGTGGTGCCGGGCACGTTTGTGTTGCAACCCCCGACCGTGGCACGCTATATCAAAGAACACTACGATCCTGATCCTGATTTTCTCAGCACAGAAACGGAAACGCAAACGGAACTGGAGACGCCAAGTACAGCACGAGACAGCCCGCAGCCTCGATACTGGGTGTGGTTACGCGACACAACGACGACTCACGTCGGACTACCACTTATCAACGAGAGCGGCTGCGCATACCGCACTGAGAGCGCTTTCTTTCCTCAGACTGGCAGCGAAGAAAGTGGCTGCCTGGAAATTTATCACATTGAAAGGATTCCTCTAATTTCTTCTTAACTACCGACGAAAAGACCACCACCACTTTCATCTCCGGTGTAGAGTGCTCTAGGAATTAATTATTTGTTGCCTTGACGGACTTGTTGCTTCCGTCCGCACGTCAGGAAAGTAACGCCCTGAACCTTCGTAGTTTGTATTGATTCAAAGCCAAGTACTGGTATGCATGCAGTCCGAACACTTTTTAATCGAATGCTGGTTTGTGATTGCAGCATGCACTCCTTTTTTTGCAGATCAATCTATGGACCTATTCTTGCCATTGCTTAGCTTCCCCGCATTTCCAGGTGTTGAAGCATTGGGAGATTGATACGCTTACGCATGTTCCCCTTAGTTAGCATGACATGAATTGGGCGAGCAACAGCTTTTAAGGTGATAATAGAGACATAGAGTTCATCATAGTGACGGCCACTCCAGTGTTGTCTTTTCCGTCGTCAACGGCAGCTGCTCCCGAAAATTTTGTTCACGTAGACAAGTTATGGGATTGGCAGGTTCGAATTTACAGCTACACCGGTTATTGGGAAACGGAAAGTGGCGCGTTGCGTGCGAAGGAATTCGACTTTCACACGAAAGGTGGCCTTGTCTGGTTTTACGTCGACGCCCGCGAAGACAACTTCTATTTTGGCCGCGTTGATGTCACATTGTCGGCAGTGAAATACGAAGTTGGACGAACCGAGTCTGGTACCAGTAAGCCAGGCCGCAGTACAAGGCTCGTTAGTGGACCAGCACTTCCCGACGTCGACGTCGGAGACACCGTGAGCAGCCACTCCTGCGCCAGCTGCGACAAAAGAAACGTGACGAACGAAGAAGCCAAATCAAGCGCGTCAGTTGAAAAGTGCTGCTTGCCAGCAAAAGCGAGATCTTCGGTTGCCGCGGGCGATGTGGGTGACGCGACAGAATACAAAATAACGTCCTCTGATGAAGATCCTGCACCTGATACAGCCCTGGATTCTCTATTCCGGCTTCGCGGCCCTGCAGTTTTGGGGATCAATGCTGGGAAAATTGCTTCTGTATTGGCTTCCAAAAGGGTCGGGGAGATTTGCGTGCACCAGGCAAGAACTGCTCGTCTTGAAAATGAGCCAATAGCTCCACTAAAGTGCGTTGCGGAGCAACTGAAAAACCTCGCGGAGGCGGACTTTCTCGACGATGTTTCCAGTCCTGCTAATTGCTGGAGACGGTGGAAAAAAATGGCTCACGAAAAGTTTCCGAGCCTGACGAAGTACTTCGAGGAGATTATGGGAGGCGGGAAATCAAACGGGGCACAGGACGAAATCGTCAGTGTTTTCTCGCTCGCACTTTGCAAGTACTCCAGAGACGATGGCTCTGACGCGGCGAAGGACGCTCTTGTGTTGCTGGTAAAAGAAGGGTTGCCCTCGTTGCATGCGGCGTCGGAAGTAGCGAACTACTTCGACACCATAGAAGCCGGGGTGAATTTTTGGCGCCTGCGGGAAAATCGCTCTCGTACGTTCTTACGAAATGTCGTCAATGACATGGTGGTAGCGATAAACAACATTCAACCGCACCGCCGGTCGCTGCGGAAACTTCTCTTTACAATGGCGGCAATTGCTGAGAGGATATCCACCACATCACTAAGACCTCCACACACGTTAATGTAGTGCACTACTCTACAAGTAGTTGTAGTTGCTATTCGTCAAACAAGCACGGCGAAGAAAGCACTTTACGGGTGGTACCCTTGCACGATTATCTGTAAATAAAATATCCCACTTTCCTTGCAGCTCCTGTAGGTGTAACGAGGTACCACATATTGTATTTTGTTTCTCTCGTCTCTCTCTCTCTCTCTCTTTTGTTTCTCTCGTCTCTCTCTCTCTCTCTCTTTGCCTTCGTACTTGCCAATCTGTCACCGTCAACGGTCGTCCCTAGAAGTAGCAGCCTCTGTGTATAAGGTATCGCGACATTGCTGACGCTTGGGTGAGGTCTAATCATGCATACAGCAGCTCGCTTGTTCACGCAAATGCTACATGGTTTGAGGATGTTGACTCGATACACCGTGGCGGCTCAGAATACTCAGTGCCTCTGCACCGAGGATCCATGTTATGGACGGCAACACCGTACGAGTAACTGTAGCTGCATTGTGGATGTGTACACGTCGAAACGCTGCGCAATGTTTGAGTGTGTGCGCAAAAAGTGCAATTGCCAATTGTGCATGATGTGCGCGCAAGAAGTGCATTCCCGATGGCCAAGTGTGCGCGTGGAGCAATTGTGCGCGCCAAAAGAAGTGGTGGATATGCCAAAAGACAAAAAAATCGCAGCACTCGTACAGTCTTGTCGCTTCATGCAGAACCATCGAATCCCTGCGGACAGCCATCTTGGACTATGGCATTGCAACCGATGATGAGAAGTCGAACTTTAGCCTTCGCAGTTCATCATCCCAAGCAGCGGAAGCCCCTCCTGGATATGTCGTGGAGCTGCATTACGCAGATCCGCTCTCCTTCGCCAGCACCGGATGGGACATTGGAGCCGGTGTAGTTTTGCGAAGTTCACAAATTTGCGGGGTCGCAAACTCAGCCGCGGCAAAGGATCGCAAAACGCTCACAGCAAGTTTATCGAAGCACTGCACACAAGCAGGGAAAGCGAAGCAATTGAGATCTCCTATACCACACCAGGAGCACGAGGAGAATATGTTCTACCCCGCGCATAGCACGGATGACGCCGCCCTTGGTCCTTTGCTTCACTTCGTTGTGTACAGCCTCGATTTGAAAAGTTACCTGGGAACGCGAAACACCCGTGGCGCCGAGCGCCGAGACGAACACCAGGTTGTTGTGGAGAACGCGTGGACAGGAGAGCCATTATTGGCGCAGCCTCTCAGCCTGGCCTTCAAGTGGTCGAAGGAAGTGCCCGCCCTGACAACGGTGCAGCTCGCTTGGGACGAGCTACACCAGCAGTTGCTAGAGAAAGTTCTGCGTCTTCAAATCGAAAGTGCAACAACTGATCGCGCTGTTGATTACGAAGTTGTTGTACATGGCTCCTCCATCACGAAAGGGCTTCTTCGAAACGCAAGCCCCGACGGTACTCCTGCGGACAGCGCCGGGGGAAGCGCCGATGTTCTTGATGCCCAATCAGAAGGAGGAACAGCTCGCAACCAACTGGCATTGGCACTAAACGGGCCTGCGGGTGCACTGTTTCTGCCTGAATCCCGGATTCGGTCTCTGGCCAATGACCACGATGCCTTCTGGCGCTGGGTTGTCGCACGAGACACAACTCGGTCGCGTGCTGTTTTTTTGCCTGCGACTGACAAGATCACTCTCAGATGGGATGCGAGGCCATCATCGATTACCGTTGCGTTGGCAGTACCCAACCTGCAGAAGAACGGCTCGGAAGCACTAGAAATTTCTGCACGTATGCCGCCTTTATCTCCATTTGGCGCCGCGGCCGAACTTCCAGCCACTTTTCGTGAAGAGATCGTAGACGAGATATTCCGAAAAAGCCCCATTTTGAAGCAGTGCCCCCAGTTCCGTGTAATGCTAGATCCCGTACCAGGAGAAGACACGACGAGTTCTCCGACCTCAACGTCAGCGTCTAGCGAGGGACCTGATGGGAACAGCATTCTCTTCGCACCCGGAGCAGCGACCCCGTACTTCGCGCTCGCTCCACGGGGCAATGGTGTGTCCAATGTGAGGGTGCGGTTTTTTCGTCCCGAGGTTTTTGCGGCGGAAGTGCCTTTCGGACCGACCAGGGTCTTGGAAGGCGACTTGATGCGGTCTTTCAGCACAAGTGATTTTATTGGTTTCACGAGAATCTCTTTGCCCACAGTCGCTGCTGATCGCACAAAAGCCAGATCCTCCTTGATCACTGCTGTGTGTTCCAAGCTGAGCGAATTTGCTGCGACAAACCACGGCCGACACGACGATCGGTGTAGCGAAATGGAGGGAGGCGAAGATGGCATTCGCAAAAATCTCGCTATTTATCAAAGGCAGCAGGTGGGACAAGACGCCGATAAGCTTGTGCTGCTTCACTCCGAAGAAGGTCAGCACTCCTCTCCGTGGCTTTTTTCTGACGGGGAGGAGCTAGTCCTCCGCTTTCCCCGTCGCGAAGGAACCGCTGTCGAAGTGAGTTTCGAATTCCAGATTGGCGACGCGTCGGCAGCAACGCCTGCTGTTTCACTGGGCAAAGTGAGCGCAGTCGCGAACAATCACAGTGCAGCAAGCACAGTTTCGACGCAGTGGATTGCTGCCTTTCTGGGCGACCTCACGAAATCTGTACCTGACGACGCTGCAACCGCGCAAAGGGTCGGTGTTGTTTTGCAAGCCTTAGCTGTTCTCTACCGACCATGGGATGAGAATGCCACCCTTCGCCGAGCGGCACCACTGGAACTCGGCCTACTTCAAAGCCTTGAGAAACTTTTAATTCATTGCACATATCCTGGCTCGCCGGCTGCAGATGGCCCTCCGAGGAAAAGGCTCCGAAGAAAAACGGCTTCACGAGACTTCTTGGCGCGCAGTTCACCCGCTATGAAAACAAATACTGGTGGGTCTTCATCGGATGACGACAGTGCCGCTGCACTCATCGCGCTCGAAGAGGACGTATTCGGCCGAAGATCTGTTGCGGATGCGTGGCGCAATGTATGCCACCTTGAGCATCGTGCGGCACCGACAAAAGCTGCGCCGGAGCCCACATCCACAATCCTCCGCAGAGGCGAAGCCTTTGGCTTTGCTCTTGCAGCTGGTGACAAATTTACATTGAAACTTATGCAAGATGTGACACTTTCTCACTCAAAGTCAAGGCACCCTCTGCTTGGCAATCGCTTGGACTCTGTAGGATGATTGTCGTCACACTTCAATACGCATCTTTGCGCTTGTGTGTGAGCATAGCAGTCGTGGTAGCCATCTTCTTACTCGACCTCTGCATTCGCGCTAGACCAGCGGGCAAGAGCATCAAACTAAGTAGTTCATCAACATGAACTAGTAGATGACGATGACTCTGCGCCATTATTTTCCCATGCTCTTTAATTGTGCCATCATCCTGATCGACAAAGGTGAAAAGTGAAACTCAACCTCAGGCGACTTCGCGCTATCAGAGGTGCGTGGTGGCACTCATCCACCTCTTCCAGATTGCTATTGATTGTTTAGGTATCAAGAGCGCGGCTCTAAGTAAAGATCAGCAACCATTGTGAGTGCCGCAGCTGCTAGTACGAACTGCATGTGACTCCACCAAGCGATGGCACCCAAACAGTGTTGGGCGAGTTTCCTTTCTTCCCCTCGATAAAAATCGCAGATGGGCCTGTGGCGAAAGTATTTCAGAATCTGATCGCAGAGATGACAGCGCGCGTCTCGGGGCGCGGGCAAAAGCGGACTGCGGACAACGTAGAAGTTCATCAGGACCTCAGTGGATCGACACGATGGGTTTTCAGTTTGGAAACTTACTTGATGCAGGAGAAGTAGAAGAAGGTTGGGTTGCTGGTGCCGTCCGTCGATTCGCAGTCGCACGATTTGCTCGGCCAGTCGATCCAGCAGCAGCTGCAGATCGCTCTCGTACTCCTCACTGCACTCCCGGTAGAGTCTGTTTTGGATGAGGCCCGCAAATTGTGGACCTTCGTGTGGGACTTCTTTGGGAGCGTTGCGCGATCTGTCGCAGATTATAGAACATCCCTCATTTCAACTTCGTATTTGATCGTGTGGATCTCCGCTGTGCAGGAATTTTCGGAGTCTATTGACGAAGTTCTGGTTGAAAACCACTTCCGACTTGCCATGTTGCGGGCAGATAAAGACTAAATTGTGAATACCACGTCGCAGGGAAGTTGCACGCGCAACGCCGACGGGGGGACAGGGACGTCTACCACAAGTGGAACCAATCCTCCTGCAAATGTTAATCTGGTACGTGGAAGCCCGCTCGATTTCCTGCTCCTGGAGAAAACTGCAATCGGGCACATAGCGACCCTGCTCACTTTCGACGGCTTGTTCACAGATCGGCACTTTGCTTCCTTTGTAGAGGACACACGACCGTCGAGATCGGTTGCCCATCTCGCCGCTGGAGAGTCGAACAGGGCACGCCCCCAAAAAGAGTCTAGCCGCCTCCTCGAGTTGCTGGTCTCTTCAAATTTTCAAGGTGACGAGGAAATGCTGCCCACTGCCTACTTGCCGGCCTTGTTTCAGGATACGCGAGCAAAGCTTGTCAAGATTCTCAAAGACCAGGTTCGTAAGCATGTCTCAAGCGGAGATGCAGCCTACAAACGCCTGCGGGAAGGGCCACACGCAATCGCGACTTTGAAGCAGGTGTGTGGCGATGCCGATAATAACTCAGCGCGTATTCGCCTCGAAGCTTTGTTTGCACTCGAGCACGAAGCTAAAGAGAACCGCATTTCGGGGACCGAGTTGAAATCGTGGCTGCAAAAATTCAAATTTGAAACTAGAACAGGAACCACTACGACTACGTGTGCGGCCACGACGGCCGGTAGTTCGACGACACCAAGTTTCGTAGAGGCAAACTTTTCCGAATTGTGGGATCGACTGTCCAGTTCGTGGAACCAAGCTGCTCTGAATTCGCGACCCGTTCTTCCTGCAACACACGATGTTGGCACCATTCGCTCCTCTACTGATTTTGCGATTTTTCGGCAACCGATCGTAGGAACTGAAAACACCGTCGCAGCGGTCGCGGATCAATTTATGCGAAGATGGGCGTCTATTCTTAATACTGAGGAACTCCACCGCAATTCCGCAGAAAAGCGCTTTTTGGAGTTTTGCAAGACGTCACGAGTGGACATGCAGAGCCGCTTCGCGGTGAAGCAATGGCTTGCAGCAGAGTTTGTGTCTTGGGTGAAAACCGCCGATCCTCCGGTTCAAAATTCAGATATCAGAATGAAGAAGGTATCTGCAGACAGACTGTGGAACAAGTAGTTGAAGAGCACACGACAGCAGGGCAGTGCAAGAAGCCCGTCTTTTTGAAAGAAGCATACGAATGATCCGTCATACACTGACACCTTGTAGAAAAGCACATGTCTGATATTTCGATTTCTGCGCACTTCAGGCAGTCATTCGCACGCGGCTAAAAGATGCGAACAAAGGGCTGACGCTGAGTTGCTTTTCACATAAAAACAACAACACTGCTAGCACGACCTTGCACAGTGAGGATCTCCCGCTCGTTTCGTCTGCGTCATTTACTCGCATAGAAAAATCACTGAATCTAGAAGAGCTTGATGCCATGCAAGAGAATATCGAATTTTCAGCCTTTCTGGACCTGCTGACTCGCAACCTCCCAGTTTTGGAGCTTGTTGTATGGGCGCCAGGCGGCGGTGAAACGGCCGCGGATCGATGGAAAATTGATAGCATCTGGAAGCAGCGAGCGCCCCAAAATACGCAGAACGCCTTGCCCTCTGGTAGCGACAGTGATGAGCCTGTGCTAGAATTTCACTTCTTCAAGGAAGACCGAGAACTTGTAGTACAACCTGCAGCAACGACGGATGGCGGAGACCCGGCTCAGCCTACGCCTAAACCGCAAAATAATAGTTCTGACGGTGAGGCTGCGCCGAAGCCACAGCCTCGAAATATCGCATGTGAGTGGCGTCTTGATGTTTCCCACTAAGCTATAGTAACTACTAGTACTGACAAATAATACACACCAAAAAGACGAACGGAAGATGCAAAGGTGCTCCGACGGACTGAGCTTCAATGATCTTAAAGTCGAGGTAGATGTTGCATCGTGTAGGTACAGCCAGTAGCTGTCCGGAACCCACGGTAATGCATGATGCTGCAAAAGGAAACCCCGAGAAAGGAGTTGCGTCGGTGAGGCCTGAGCCGCTACCAGGAGATGCTGTTCATGTAGATTGCCTAACAAAAAACTCTGGTGCAGCGGAATGCTTCTTCCTTTGTTGTTGTGCTGGCTAAGTATGTATATTCGTATATAAAACTTTTAGGCTGCTGGAGAAACATCACACTTGAACTTCGATGCTGCCTCTTGCACTACATTCCCTGGTATTGCTTCCGGAAGCGGCTTCAGTAACGGAAGGCGAGTCTGTCTCGGTGTCGGAGGATCAGAAGAGCTCGCACTCAAATGAGAAGCCTGCCGTTCGTGGACAAGTTTGGTGGATGTGGAAGCTCCTAACACAGGTTCTCACAACGCTCATGGGAGGGCTTCCAGCGCCCTCGGCTGACTACCTGCAGACGAGATTTTTGGGTGCGCCCAGTACGATGCCGGAGCCCACACAGCAGCTGGGTCTAGAGTACATGTTTTCGGAGCTCAGCACAACGATTGTGCACACACACAAGCTCGACAGTACGAAGATGGAGGGCAGCGGCTTTCCTGAAGCTAATTCTGCGTGGTCCCACCTGCAGACCCACGTTAGGGATGAAATTTGCGTTGTGGCACGCGACAGGGCTGCCTGTGCCGTATCAAAACTGGAGGGGGTGCTTGCAGCAACGCTGGTTTGGGCAAACGCTCCAAAAAATCTGCAGGTACTGAAGGAAGCCTCTGTCGCAAAAGAGAAGGGTGAGGAAGCTACCAATACTGACTCTTCAAAAAGAGATCCACTCTCACAGCCTCAAAGCACTAGCCCCGCTCCGAATATGCGACCTTCACCTGCCGCTGCGCCCCATGGCCTTTCGTCGAGCGGCACGCAAAATTCTGCTACTGCAATGGGTGCTTGTGCTGGCTCTCTACCTGGCGCACAATCAGAATATGTCGGCTTTCACGACGTGGCAGATCTATTCCGGCTGCTCCAAGTGTCACGCCATGCTGGCGCTTTTGAACAGGCTTTCACTTTGTTATCCGATGGCATGCCGCAGGACGGCGTTCAGGCACTTACTGCGGAGCTTCAGGTGATATGGCTTGCGGACCAGCTGCGGCACGCGAATCCTCGGCCGTCCGATATCGCTGGCATTGACAAGCATATTCGAAACCGCACGAATACCATTCAGCAGTCTACTTCTTCCGCCGACGACTATACCTACGGCAATTTATCCAGCATAGAACTTGTCGTTTCCCTAGCAGTCTCCCCGTTCGCGGTAGAAGAAGTAGCGCAGTTTTTTGAGATCCTCGCTGCGCATACAGAAATTCTTACACCCGCTAAGGTTCTGGCAAAAATTAGAAGATGCGAAGTATCTCAAAGCCAATCACGATTATTCGCACCCGCACGCTCTCACTGCAGATTTACGTGCCTGCTTGTCATGCAATTTGCATTGAAATGCGCATCGCAATGTAGTCCTGAATGCCCAAGAAAAAGAATTTGTATGTTCACTATGTATGCATTGATGTCTCTCACGCGATGAGAGACCCTCCCCCTCCGTTGTTGTGACTATGAATAGCGTGCTTCCAAAATATAGCTGTACGGACACGCAAGATAAAACGCAATCTCTTCGCACCGGGACGGAGTCGGAACGGATGCCCAGCACTGATCTTCCTTGTGTGCTTGCTGAGCTCGCCTTTAGGTACTGCGGTGTGCCGGGTGCGAAGCTATGTTTTTCCATTTCGATACGCATCCGCTGTGTCAAGAGGGGCGCCAATCTCGCTGAGAAACTGCAGCCAAAAGCTGATCAAGCTGGTCCTTGAACCGGCCCTAGAAGGATGGAATCTGCGCTATGATGAAAAAGAGCGCAAGGCACTCGACAGTCTCACATACGAACTTACTGGCGCCTGGCGTTCGCAGGAGGTCGTGGCCGTGATCAAGCGCTTGCGGGACTCAGTGGCGGCGTTTCCAGAGGTTCGAGGGGTGCTAGAACTCTTGAATGATTACCAAATGGCAGAGGATTGGCGGCCTCTCGGAACTGGCATGCTTGGCCAGGAGCGCGATGACAGCAAAAATGCCTCCCTGGTTAGTGTTCGCAGCGTGCATGCGACCATCACAGAGTTCTTGAAAGTGACCGAACCTGCGAAGTGGAGCACAGTCCTCCATTCGAAATTTGTGGCCATTCTTTTCCCCGGAAGCACAGAACTTTCTCCCGGAGCTGTCGCTGGGCACATCGAAAACGAGGCACGGACGCGAGCGGGCAGCACCAACTCGGAATTTTTGAAATCTGCAGGAGTGAACCTGCCGGCTAAGCACGACGAGATTGCGAGATTCCCCGTTGCCGATTCCCTTGACTGGAAAACTTGGGCAGACACCGTGCGCAGCAAGTTTGCTGCTGGAGAGGAAGTGGACATGGTCGAGGTTCTCGCTGTGCTAAAGTCTGGCTGGCACAAGACTTTCCACGAAGAACTACGCGCTACACAAATGTTTGCTGTGATCACCCAGCTTGACGCGTACAAATCCGGAACGAAAGGCAGACTCGGACAGGTTCCAACGGGTGAAGGCAAGACAGCCGTCGTCGGCGTCCTCGCTGCTGCTTTGTCTCTGCACGGAAAAAAAGTCGACATTATCACATCCTCGTCGGAACTCGCCAAGCCCCAAGCAGGGAAGCTGAGCCCATTTTTTCGCCGATTCGGCGTACGATGAGCAAAAACAAGCAGACACGCATTGGTTTTGTCATGCGCCGTTTCTACATACTTAGTATAGCATTAATACCCACGAGATAATTGCAATATAGCACATCAGTAGCCATGATGAACATATGAAAACAAAATTTGATCGGCACAATTCGATAGATATAGTCCAGGCGTTTCTATCCGAAGAAAGAAAAACGTCAGTCAAAGTCAAAATGAGAACCAAGATGCGCAACACAATTGCCAGGAAAGATGACGCAATATGTGCCGTTGCCGCCAGCAACCATGACTTTGCAGCGCAGTACATGCTGCTGTTACGCTCATGGAAATCATTCTGCGTCAAAGGAAGATGAAGACGCAGGCAATGTTGAACAACAACTGTAATTCTACATCATGAGTCTCATAGATACTAGTCGGACTCAGACTTTTCTCTCTTTTCTTTTCATACTCAACCTGCCTTGTTTTTTTTCGCGCAATGCCGTATTGGGTCAGATTACATTCGGACTCCGAACAAGAAGGTGCGCTCGACTGGGACGAACACTAGATTTGCAGGCAGCGACGTGGTGTATGGTTCTCCCAGTCTTTTCCAGTGGGCTGACCTGCGACACCGATTCTCTCGAGAACAAGATGAGGCGCGGGATCGCGACACGCGGCCATACGACATTGCCATTATTGATGAGAGCGACTCTCTCATGGTTGACGGGAAGGCGTCACAAGCATTGCTGTCAACCCCGTTGCTGGGTGCTCACCATCTACACAACTTCGTTGCTTCCGTGTGGCTAATTATGAAGGCGCAAAAGCAACATCTCAAGCAGTTCGAGGTGGACGGAGAGCTTTTAACTTTCGAAGTGCCGCCACAGCTCCACACGATAAAGACTTGGGAAACATACAAGGACGAGCTAAAGGCGCAGAACGTCTTCGTTAACGAGTCCCAAGCGATCGAAAACCGCCGGGATCCGGAAACGGGGGAGCGTTTGTACAAGGATTGGACAGACTTTCTCACACAGAAGCTGGAGGAGGTGCTACGCAAGAGCGTCCGCGACTTCGAGTGGCACGCTAAGAGCCACCTGCCGGGAAAGAAGCTTACAGATGAGCAGATTTCGCAGGTCAGGCAAGGTGACGATCCGAACAACAAAAACGTGGCTCCATATATGCGGCTCTATCACTTGAATCATTATCATGATGGAAGTATCTTCCCTGCCAAGGGTCGGGCTGCAGCAACGTGAAGAACCTGCATCAACAAAAGCGTTGAGGTGCATGCATTTTTCAACTCGCGACACAGCCTGTCGCACCCCTTGCCTCTCTGGCGGAACTAGAAAGCCATATTTCCCCCCGTGAAAATTTGTATAAATGTTAAAGTCTACTTTGACTCAAGATTGAGTGATGACCGCCACTCTCTCTAACACGAGCGTTAATGCAGGTCTACAGGTTGCTCCTCCGTGGAGTTGTTAAGACACAGAGATTTATTAGATTGCAATAGCTTAGATGCCCGACCAAGTAGCGACATTACAGACGACACAAAAAAAATTTTTTTTCCGTAGATTGAAAAAGCACGAGAAAGATCGAAAAGCAAAAAAACAAAAAAAAAAAATTCCTGGTCCTGACTTGTTTTATTAAGCACTAACACCAGAAAAAAAAAAACTCTTTAACCGAAAAAACAGTGATACGCCCGCAATATTCCCTTTCGGATTTTTATTTGTCTATTTACCCTCTTGACTTGATTTCGAACCTCGCCAACTTCAGAACAGAGTCATAAAAGCAACCAAAACAAAAACGTCGTCTTTCGCAGTAGAACGCAGCGAGCCGCTGGGACCGGGAGATGCCACGCAAACAGTTAGGCACCTAACATCCTCCACGCTGTACAACTTCACCCAGAATAGCGAGCAGGCTGCTGTGGATTTGATGGGCATGATGCACATGCAAAAGAAGAACGAGGTGGATGATAACAAAGCGGTCCTGGAGCTGCGCGACCACATTGTTGGCAAAATCACCGCCGGCGAAATTCAGAAGAAAAAGGAAGTCACTAACGGGGAAGCAGCAAACTTTGTGAAGCAGCTGCGCCTGATGTACGATTTGGACATCTTGAATACGGACGCGAAAACGTTCGAGGCCGAGCGGGTTGCGGCGCAAAAGGCTGCTGCAAATGCAGGCGAAGATGCGGGAGCTGATGGCGCCGAGATGAAAGACGAAACGAATCCGAACGTCGACCCCCCGGGCGAGATTCCTCCGATCCCAGAAGGACTGCTGGGCGACGGTTCGGCTGAGGACAAAAAGCCTACGCTCGTGGATGACAGCAAATGCGAAGACAAAACGCCGAACCAGCAGCAGTACGCATCTAGTAATGGGCGTGACCATTGCTCCATGGAGGAACTATACGCGGAAAATGTCTTTCGCATGGGGAAGCGAGATATGCAGCAGATCCGGTCTGCGAAAGCGGTCACGGAGCGCGTCTGCACGATGATCGAGGCGGACCAATTCGACACGGACATGCACGAGGGCAAGTTCGACTTCAACAACTTCATGGCGCATGTGGTAGAGGATGAAAAGTGGATGACTTGGTTCGAGGCCTATGACTTCTGCAATGTCACGCTGCCGAAGCTTGTGAAGGACTCCACCGAGGGCGCGATGCTCATGAACATGGGGATGGAACGCATGAAGCAACACGTGCTGTCTTTGGTCTTGGATGTTTGGGATAAGAATGAGGAAACGCCGACCAAGATTTTCAAGACCTTCTATCCGAAGGTTAGGTTTGATGTGGATGGAGTGCACCGCACTCCCACGGGGCAATCCTATGTGAAGGAGGATCTAGGCTTCATGGTGCACAATGACTACGTGAATCAGCAGGGCGGAATTGACTACTCGAAGGTAACGGCCGGGGTAAAGGTGGAGTACTTCCTGGTGGCCAGTGAAGGCATGTACATGTTACCGCCGGGATATCATCTGCTAAAGCTGAAAATCCAAGGAGTGCGCACCTGTATCATGGGACTGGAGACCCCAGCCTCTTTTGACCATGATCCAATGACAGCAAGCCAAGGCGCGGCGCATCAAGCGTTCGGGCAAACGGTGGAGCTTGAAGGGCGCTTTCGAAGTGTAACGGACTATGAGGTGGCGATTGGTGACTGCTTCATTGGCCAAGTTTGTTGGGATCACAAGCCTGACGGCACGCCGCAGCTGCGTTTCGTTGTGTCGACCCTTCGGAGAACGGACAAAGAAGAGGCGATTCGCCTCAACCCCCTCACCACGGTTCCCCCGAAACCGGACCCGATCTCCCCCAGAACCAAAGGGCAGCAGCAGGCGCCGAGAAATCTGGATGCGAAAGGCCCAGACGAGTTCATTACTCGCAAACAGCTGGAGGAGATGCTGGATAAGCGCGACGACAAGCTGCGGAATGAGATCAAGGAGGAGATCAGTGCTGTTCAGGTTGAAAACACCAAGCAGATCGGGCAACTCAAGACGCAAATGTCTTTGATGGCGGAGGGGCAGCAGATGGACATTGAAACATCCAAGAGCAACACGAGTCTGATGCACATGTTCATGGGATTCCAGGCGCTGGGCATGCCGGAGGAGCAGAAGAAGGCTATGCTTTCCAAGCTGGAAATGGAAAAGACGAGGGTTGCTACGGTAGATTCACAGCGCGCGGAGAACCTGCAAAAAATCAAGGACTTGCAAGGCCCCGCTGCGATTGCGAATGGGGAGAATATGCTGGCGATTGGAGACGATGATGCTGCAACAAAGGGAGGAACAGGTACTGGTAGTTGCGATTTGACTGAGAATTTTTGTATGCATGAGCGACGTGATACGATGGTAGAACAGAAGTGCCAACACTCCGAGGAGGACATTGATCGGGCAGCGTCTGGATGGGAAGATGGTGGCCCTCTGACTAGGGAAGGCGAAGAACAACTACCACAAATGGAGAATGCGACTTCTTTCACTTCAACTAGCGACACAACCGAAACACAACATCACAACAGGACTACCGGATTCGAAAAAACGGAAAAACGACAGCACAGCGTGAGCGAGGCGCGTAAAAATCATCGGGAAAATGACAGCAGTTTTTTCGGGGCTACACAAGATTTCGAACGACTTGCAAAACAGATCCAGACACTACATCCAGTACAGAGAAATATAGCGAGGAAATGCAGAGGAACACGACCAGAGCTAGAAACTCCAGCGCGAATTTTGACACCAAGCACGCACCTGCAACTATCACATGAGTTACGTCGACGACAAGAAAGACAAGAGCTAGACTACAAAAAATTTCAACTACGGAAACAAAATCGCTTCTTTCCGCTTTACATCAAAGAGAGCAAGAGCCAACTAGCAAGAAGAACAACCAGCGCAGACGCCGACGCCCACAGCAGCAGGACATGGGATGGCAGCATACTTGAGATGCAGGAAATTCGTGGGGGCAGCAAATCAACAGCGAGGAACAGCAGGCAGCAAGACGTGCTCTTGCGCGTGCTGTGTTTTCTTCTTCTTCTTCTAACACTCTTCACGGCCGCAGTAAGCTATTTTGACGGCGGAAAACCAGACCAACCCATCACGCAAAGTACAAAAATGCAAATAAAACCAGAAGAAAGGCATGGTGGTCCGGATGCGCACGGATTGACAAGTGGGCAGCCGAATGCGCAGAGGCTTGGCGATGAAAGTGTTCTGCTGTCGCGTAGTCATAAAAATACAAAATTCTCGGTCGAGTCGTGTCGTAGCTACCTAGTTCCAAACTCATGTTCCAAATTGCAAGCACCACAGGAAGGAGGCCTTCTCACAAGTCTGCTGCGCTCCACGTCGGTACCAGCGGCCTCCTGCACGAGTTGCATTGCTTCGCAAAGTGTTTTTCGACGTGAGTGTGGGAGAGAGCCTGGTAGTGCTCCGCAACGTGTGCGGCTACGTGGTTGTGTCTTTGGTGGCCAGACGCTGTCTTCTATCATTGTCTTCATGCTGGAGCACCCTGCGACTGCATCGTACATCCTGGCGAGCATGACAACCTCCTCCTCGCGAAAGACCCGCGTACCCCTTTCCCGCAGCGGAAAGGATAGAGAAACAGACGTCTGCAGCATGGACAAACGGAGCACAACACGAGTGGAAACGGGGTGCCGGGGGCTCGCCGCAAGACCGTACGAAAAATTTGCCCGCTTGTTCCCCGCATGCCACGGCGATGACATAGCGATAGGGGACTACTCCCGCCGGTGCTACGGGGTCGATTTGGCTCTTTCTGGGGGAAGAAAAACAACGAAAAGCCGGAAACCGCCCGGCGGGTTAAGGACTGCGGCGAATTTTCTCGGTGGAAATCGCGGCCGGGACGGTCCACAGCTCGGGGAGATAACAGGCCATGAGCCCCCTAGTGATGGCATACGATGCACAGCACGAGCGGAATCGGCCAGAATCCCGAAACCGCAGCAGCAAACAAGGAACGGGACAAGCAGGGGAATGCGGCACTCAAACTGCGATGCTAGTCCCTCGATTTCGTTCTTTTCCGTTGTCGTTTTTCCTTCAAATCAAGGCACACCTATCGGCGTTCGAATGCCGCAACCCGCCCCGGGGCTTCAGAAGCCAGCGTCATCGGGATCCGCATCCGCCAGGAGCCGAGCGGTCTGCTGTGGCGGGCTGCGACCTTGGGAGGAGCATCGTTTTTGGGATCAGTATAGCGAAGCCGGCTGGGTTTTTCGTTTTCGTCGGCAGACTGCGTTTTTTCGAAGACTACACTTCCACGGAGGCGGAAGTGCGGATGACATAGCCAAACAGGCGAAGCTGCGGCAGATTGGAAATATCTGTGTGTCTCGTCGACCAAAACACGGAATGCGCGAGCTACAGATTCACGGAGGCGGAAGTGCGGTTGACATGGCCAAACAGGCGAAGCTGCGGCAGATCGGAAATATCTGTGTGTCTCGTCGACCAAAACACGGAGTGCGCGATCTGCGCGCAAATTGCACATCGCGCTGCGTCGTGTTCTGGTCCGCTTTTCCCCCAAATACAACGCGTTCCGGAAGCGCATCTACCAGGATGCGAATGGACGGCCACGGTCGGAAAGCGGAGTGTTCGGCGCGCGACCCCCAGGAATCCACTGCGGCATCGTCTTCTGAAGCAAAATCGGCCGACTCCGCCCGGAAGGTGCATTGTGGTCCGGAACCCACCAAAACGTCTGTAGAGGCAACCGCAAGACTAGCGGAACCGGTAGGCGATGGAGCGTCGGTTTTGCTCTGTCCCGACCACCCCCGCACGCGGTTTCGAGATTCTGAAGAAAAATCGACCGATTCCGGCCGTGCTGTGCATCATTTTCAGGAATCCACTGCTGCAGCAGCAGCAGCGTCTTCGGTAACAGCAGAAAAATCGACCGACTCAGCCCGTATCATGCATCGTTTTCTGGAATCCACTACGGAAACAACAACGACAACTCCAGGTCCTGACCACCCCAGCATGCGGCTACGAGATGCGTTGCAGATGCTGAGCGTCACCAAGTGGGGAGGAGGACGTAAGAGACTGGTCGAACGCAGGCTGAAGCTGCGCAGCAGGATTATCATGACTTCTACAGGACCAGAACACGGAGATGGTGATTTGTCGCGCCTTGACAAATCACCACATAGCGAGTTCAGGTTGGTTTTTTCCGATCATATGAAGATGCGCTCGCCGACCAAACCAATGTGGCTTGCGGACGTCGGACGCAAAAAAGAGCAGGGAGACCCAGACCATTGGCGACGAATTTTATTGGAACGGGCGGGCGTGATGGCGGTTCTCCGATGTGCAGCAACCCCAGCGAGATGGGTGGTTCGGCGCTTCGCCCAGCGTGTGCAGCTGCTCTTAGGGGTTCGAGAGACACAGATGAAAAGCGACAAGGAGATATTGCACATGTTGCAGCGACTGGTGCGACGACTCCACGCGAAGCAGCAAATCAGGAAAGACGGGAGGGCAGTATGGAAGCGGCGCCACAAGCGTCAGGGGCCGGTGGCAAGCAGCAAACGAACGAGCAAAACCAGGCACGATGAGCCAGCGGTGGAAGGATTTGAAGAGCCTGTTCTCGCACAATCGGAGCCGACGGCCGGGCGATGTGAGTTGGCGCAGGCAGAGGAGGACTTTCCCCAGCGTTTTGCATCGGTCGGGAGCAAAAAAGCAAGAAGGAAGACGCAGAACAAACGCCGCGCGGTAGTCAAGCATGCGAACGGGCCCCAGCACGCCGATACTCGAGGAGCCCCGCCGCCGCTGGAGTCTCAAGCAGAACACGAGCAGAGTGCTGAGGGCGAGGAAGGCAGATCCGCCGAAGAAGAGACAATTGCGCCAGTTGTGGTTCCACCTATCTTTGCGTTCGGAGGCAAGCAGAGCAAGTCCTGGAAGGACATCTTCAAAGTTGCGGAAAAGAAGAAAAAGGAAAAAGACGAACAGAGGGACAGCCCAGACGACGGGGCAGGCGATGGAGACAGTCCGTCACAGCAGGGGGAAGGGGACAGCGCACACAACTACTTTCCAGACCGTGTAGGAGGAGAAGTGGTAGAGGCCCCCGCGGGCCATTGGGCGTGCAGGACGGGCCTCGTGAATTGCTATGGCAGCGGGATGGAGTCAGAACGGTTCTGCCACGTGTTAAGAGTGGCGGGGGCCTGCGACTGGGGATTGGTTTTGCTCTCCGAATTCGCCTACCGCAAGAAGCAGCCAGCAGCAGTCGCTGAAGCAGCGGACATCCTTCCTCCAGGCGCTGAGCCAGAAGCCCCCGGCCCAGGAGGGGAAGAAGAAAATGATGACGATCATCTGGACAGCCTCTTGGAAGGACAACCGCAACAAAATCCGAACGTACAAGCGCCACCGCAAAACTTGGGAGAGGATGGCAACGATGACCAGCCTATTTGCGTGGAGGTGGAAGCCCATCTGGATGAACTAGCCATGGGGCCGGATTTTGACTCTCCCGTGGAGAAAGAGGAGATGACGGAGGCCGAGGACGTGCTTGAGTTCGGCGAGTATCAGTGGGTACGCAAGCCGAAATTTGATTTGCTTTTTGCGCATGGAGTAGGAATCCTCATCCTGGATGAGAAGCTGCGGGCTGAAATTCAGGCAGACCAGCTACATACAACAGCGGACGCAGTGAGATCACGGCCGCGGGTATTGACGTTGTTTCTAAGAGAGCTAGCAGTAGTCGCTTGCTATGCCCCCACCGCGGGATCGCCAAAAGAAGACATGGCGGCTTTTGACGGCAACTTCACCAAGGCAATAAGGGAAACGCAAAAAATGAAGCAGCACAAATGGAAGACCAAGATTGTTGGCGCCGATTGGAATGCGCAGGTGGGGACTCGACTCTTTGGCGGGTCTACCATAAAAGGACAGCACGGACCTGCGACATCGACGCCACGCGGGCGACAATTTGCGACGACGATGCTGGCCCTGAACATGGTGCAGCCAGCCAGCCACCTGGAGCTCCCGTCTCACAGCACGCACGATGGAGGAAATGAGCTGGACTATTTTCTGGTGCCAGGTCAGCAGCTTACCAAGGTCTTAGGATATCGCATCTTTGACGTCAATGGGGTGCAAGCAGATGGCGCAAGGCTAGCGCTGGCGAGATTCGACCACCGGGCGGTGGAGATGGATACGGCGGTAAAAACGAAAAAGCACTTAAGGCATGAAGGAGAACTTCGAAGGTTGTCAACGTTTGGGCTAATGACGAGCCCCCCGGAGGAGCTGCTCACGTTTTTCAATGAGGACCTGCGTGCCAGAATCGAGAGCAAGGGAGGCCATGGCGCCTTCAGCCTGGAGGACTTCCACGACTTCTTGGTAGATAACACGCCGCACTTCATCGGGAAAACAAAGAAGGAGGCGCCGGTGAAGGACCTAGACAAATACGCGGAAAGTGCGAAAACTCGCTCCAAAATGTGGGCGCTCTTTCGCGAAATGGACTTGCTCAAGATGGATCGGAGGTGCGAGATAACCCCTGCTGAGGCGGCCAAGCAATACGCTGCGGTGGGAAACACGCCGATACGACCGGACTTGGACACCTTGCCAATTGAAGCGGAGCTACCAAAGTACATTCAGCCCTTGACATCTGAAGATCTGGAAGAACTGGACAAGCCCCCGGACGTCTTTGAGGTGGAAGAAGTGGCGAAAGCGGTGGCCGCCGGGGGAAAAGCGAAAGACGCATGTGGACTGCAGGGCGGCATCCTGAAGTTTTTAGACCAGGACTCGCTCGAGATCCTCACGACCATCCTAGCCAAGGAGTTAAGCACGCGCAAAATGAGCGAACTGGACGAAAGAATGCGGCTCTGCCGAGATACGCCGCTATTCAAGGGCAAAGGATCGCCAAAGAATCCGGATGGGTATCGTTTTCTCGTCATTTCGCCGCTAGTGACAAAATTAGTGGTGAAGCTGTACTCGGATCGGTTATATCGACTTCTGGAGGATAAGGGATACTTCTGCGAATCCCAGTTCGGATTTCGGGAAAGCAGGGGGACGATTGAGAGCCTTGCTATCTTCAACAAGCTACGTCAGGACATGATGCACTATGGCGAGCATGGCATGGCGCGGGTATTGGTGACGCTCGTGGACTTGAAGAAAGCATTCCCAAGTCTGGACAAACGCTTAATCAGGGGAACGGTCCAGGCTCTCAATCTGCAACACAGTAAATGTTGGGAAGCGATAGAGGCAAGTCATCGGAGTTCAGTTCATGAATTTCGGGACCCGGACAACAAGAACACGCCGGGAGAGAGGTTCGCACTAGAAAACGGAACGAAAGAAGGATGCGCGTCGTCGCCCCTGGTGTTTGTAATGGTGTATTCAGCGGTCATGAAACACTTCCGACATAAACTCAAGGCGGAGCAGCTGCAGAAATCCAAGCCGGCCGGGGTCCAACTTCGCACGAGTCCGCAGGCCTTGTGCTGGAACAGGGTCGACCGATTGTATGCGTATGTCTTCGAGTCGGGGGCCCAGACGGCGGAACAGCAGCAGCAGGATGCGAGTGGTGCGATGGAGATGGAGACGGTATTCAAGGCTTTGATGACCTTGCTGTTCGCAGACGATACGACCCTCCTAGAGCTAGAGCAGCGGCAAATCCTCGAGAAGCTGGTCAAGGAAAACGAGGCACGGGAAGGTCGAAACAAAAAGAAGAAAGCCGGGGAAAAGCTGGAAGAGCTTCTTCCTTCAAACGCGATGAAGGTCCTTTCGGAAGTCCTTTGGGAGGCGGGCACGTCTGAGAACAAAACCAAGCGCATAGCCAACGACATTACCGAAATTGTAACGCGAAACCTTGGGCAGAACACGGATCCGATGGAGGACGTCCGGCAAAAGGTGAAAAAGTCCTGGCGCGCGTACTCGTCACTACGGCAGAAGATCAGCGGCGTCAGTGGCATACACTCGAAAAGGCGTGGGGAGTTGATAATGGTGATGATCAGAAGCGTGATGACCTACGGCATGACCTCCAGGTACGTAAGCAAAGAGGAGCTTCGCATTTTAGAAAGGGAGGAAGGCAGGATGATGATGCGAATTCTCGATATCCCTTGGTGGAAGAAAGTGCTGAAAAAACAGAAGATGTCGGACATTCGGAAGCAGCTGAAAGTGCCAAAGCTTGAGCATCATGTGCGGTATCTACAGATGAAATGGCTGGGGCATACGTTACGGAAACCGAAGACAGACTTAACCAGGCAGGTGCTACTGGGGCAGTTTCTCCCACCGCTGGTAACGGGATACCAGCCGCAAAACGACGCCCGCGGCTGGGAACTACAGGAGAATGAATCTCTGCAGCTCCTGCGGTCTATCAAAAACCTCAAGGAGCTGGATGCTAGACGCCGAAAAGTCCCCTCGTTCCTGGAGGACTCGATAAAATACTTGCAAGGTGACTGCAGCGTATCGGCGGAGATGTTGCATCTCCTGGCGGAAACACCGGTAGAAGCGGCACGGCGACGCCCAGACCTGGAGGGGCCGCAATCCCTGTACCATGCGAACAAGCGGCTATTTTTCTCGACAACGCGATGGGCCTTCATCAAGGCCGTGGCAAAAGACTGGGCCGGACAGGACGAGGGCGAGCGGAAGCAGCTGGAGCACGACCTGTCAGTGAAGTACTTTGGAGATGCTGACGCGCCCACGGTTCAGAAGGTCAAGGAACAGGCTGCGGCGAATGGGCTGAATGTAGAGGAACAGGTGGGCAAACTGGAAGCAGTAGATGGGGCACCGCTGGCGTATCGATCACAAGGCCAGTGTCTCTGGTGTGCGGAGCAGATTGCTGCGGGACCACGTGGCCCAGACGGCAAATTTGGCGATGCGGATCTCATCTGCGGCACGGCAAAAGGAGGGCCAACGCAGATGATGGAGCTTCATCTAAAAGAGAAGCACGAAGCCCCCGCGCCCAGCAACACAGCACACAAGCGCAGGATTTTGAGAAAGATCAAGGAGTGGGATGACAAGCACAACGCCTTCATTCGGGCGGAAACGCTGCAGAGAAATGGGAACCCGCGCTACATTAGAGAAAAGCAACCAAGGGGCCCGCGTGCCCATGTGCCGATGATCAAGTTTGGGCGGCGCCAGCCCTGGCAATTCCGGGCCTATTTCGGTGCTATTTTTCCTACGGTTGCCGTGTTTGTTTTTCTGCCTATTTTCCTGCTAATTCCCTGTCTAATTTCTTGTCTAATTTTTTGTCTATTTCTTTGTCTAATTTCCTGTCTATTTTTTGCCTGATTCCCCGCCTGTGTTTGCCTGTTTCTTGGCTAATTTTGGCGACTTTTTTTTTTCGCTGCGAAAACCAAAAGCCCCGGAATTAGGCGAGAAATAGGCAAAAAAATAGGCGCGCTGCCTCTGTGCGCGGGGGGCCTGGGCTGTTGGCCCTGCGCGTTTTGGTTTTCCTTTTTTTGTTTTTTTCTTTGCTTCCCTGGCTTGGCGGCCACTCGGGTCGCCTTGGTGCGCATGGGCTTTGACCGTTTGGAAATTAGCACCGAGATAGGCAGTGCCCCGCCGGGGGCGGCGCTGGCCTATCAAGTGCATTCCCTGCAATCTGATGTTTGACTCCAAGTCGGCAGCTATGGAGCGCCATGCCCAGGCCCATCGAGAGCATGGCTACATTCGGGTAGGACGAAAAAAGAACAACCAGGGGAAGCCGGTGGGGGAATGCAGACCGGAGCAGCACTGGTGGAATGAATCAACAGGCAAGTACTCGTATGGATCTGACGCAGCACATTGGAGGACGACAATACCCCAGCGCGCCCTACACACTGACGCAGCAGGTTGCGAATATATCCGATGCCGAAAATGTGAGAAATGCAAGGCCCTACTCGCCCACAACAACGTCGCGATGCGCTACCATGATCGGGGCGAGTCCATCAAAATTGGGAAGATGATCGACCACGAGAAGTCGTGCAAAGGGAAGAAGATGCGCGACGAAGTCTACTCCGACAACGAGCAGCACTAAGATCTTTCCCTTTCACTCCCCTTCACTGTGGGAATACTAACTAACTAACTATAAATCTTCCGGGCAAGAGTCGCTATAGGTGAACAAGCATTTTTATTGTCGATGGCCACTACTTTGCTCAATAGAATATAGAAGCACGGTACGTCTGCGGCAGCGCTCCTAGATTTGATCTACGCTTTTTTGAGAGCTTACCCTTTTGCTCATGCAAGTGGAAGTGGCATGATGAAGTTATAAGCACAACTAGACCGCACCCTTGGAAGGAATAAGTTTTTGTTGCGATTGTGATCATCGAAAATATATCGTGGAGCGAGGCATTTATGACTGGTCCAGAAATTGCGTACATGCGCAGTTTATCTATGAACCTGGTGTGCAGTACCAACTTCGGGGGAAGGGCGACGGCATGACCATGGAGCTAAGCACGGTGGACGCCGAAAATACGGGCACTATCTCCGACTCCCAGCATTACAGTGGCGGGCTGCACCAGATTTTGCAAATCTATGGCCCGGACATATCTTTTTTTTTTCATCTCGTTCGAAGAATATAGAATGGCAATTTTGAATGCATTAGTTGCAGCTTCTGAGCTGAAAATATGCATGAATGTGTTAGATAATTCACAATCTGATGACTACACATGTAGCTGCACCTGTGAACTAGTTAGCCTGAAGCTATCTAGTCTTGTGGAATCGACGTGCGAATCCACAAGACTCGATAGCTTGAGGTTAACTAGCTAGCTCATGATGTTGATTTATCTTCACATGAGCTACCTCATGGCGACTATCTATGGCCGCACACATGCTTATCTACATACAAACGACTACCCTTTACGATCATGCAAATACGTATTCGATTTTTTTGATCTGTCCGGGCCATAAAATCAAACACGGTCTGCGTTTGCTACCTGAAAACTTTAGCACCAACTTTCTGTCGAACGTCAAGTTCATCAAGGGCTATGATCATGTTTTTGGACTGACAGGGACACTCGGTGATCAGGCTACGCTGAAGCTCATGCACGAAGTGTACGGATTAGACTTTTTTTTCGTGCCCGGCTTTAAGCAAAAGCAGTTTTACACTCTCCGGGGTGTTGTTCTGCACGGTAAGGACGCCGGAAAGACCTGGCTTGAGACCGTGGTCCGGCGCGGCCGCGCTGAAGCATTTTTGGGACGTGCGGTTTTGGTGGTGTGCGAATCCATCAAGAAAGCGGATGCCATACACCAGGCCTTCGAAAAAGCGGCAAAAGATGCAGCCGACCATGAGTCGGAGGGTGGGCCTGCATTGCCCGACGGCTCCAGGCATAACGTATCCCTGTTCAGGTACACCGCACAAGAGGAACGCGATGCTGCCATAGAAAGGATCGTCCAGGCGGGTGACGTCATAATTGCCACAAACATTTCCGGACGGGGTACTGACATCAAGCTTTCGGACGAGGTGGAAAAGAATGGTGGCATGCACGTCAGCGTAACGTTTATTCCAAAAAGCAAAAGAGTTCAGGAACAAAACTTCGGTAGGACTGCGCGGACAGGGCTTCGGGGCACAGCCCAGTTGATTGCGAGAGCAGAGGGAGATGTCCCTCCATCTTTGGCAACGGACGACGGTCGGGACACCCTGCTGCAGTGGCTTTTGGCACGACGCGACGCGCACGAGCGCAACAGCATTCGAAACGCACCAGAAGACATCCGGAAGACACTGAATCAGGACAAGGTGTTTGACTCCGCTCTGGCCATGCTTGCAGAGCTTTCGCTTGTCAGGCCGAAACCCAAACCAAACGCCCCCAAGCCCGTTTTGGGAGACGATTCCTGGAAGTCGATAGATCGCCTTGCCTTCGAGGAGCGGTTTGCTCTATGGCTGCTCGCAAGGGGCGCCGCGCTCGAAGACGCAGATGACCCCGAGGTTTTCTTTGAAGAAGATTTTGCGAAGCCCTTACGGCAAGAGTGGGTCGGCAGAACTAGCCCTTCGTCGCTTTGTTCGCGACGACCGTCACGAACCCGTTCGTCACGAACCCGTACCACCATACGACGCTCGTCACGAACCCGACGACCGTCACCATACCCGCTCGTCACGAACCCGTACCACCTTGTCAAACAGGCAAACGAGGAGATATTAAAGTCGGGCCGCTATGATAGACCCTTGCTTTTGCTCTCAAAGGCGTCCGAGCTGGACGCAGAATGCAGCGAAACCTGCAGCGGTGGAATATGTGTTGAGGCCCCATACTGTCGCGGGCTCGCCCACGTCGCAAAACATAACAAGGAGAAGCCTGAAGCCGAGTCCTCGTGCGAGACCCAGTACCCAAAAGTTCTTGCTGTTCTCAAAGAAAAAATTCTTCCACCATTAGACGCTGTAGATATGTGTTGCCATGGTGCTGGCAATGAGCAGGGTGTCTGTATCAAGGACCTTTTGCATCGTCAGGTTGACCAGCATCGTGCGATCTATCACGGAATGATGCAACAAGTACAGTCTGTCATAGGTGATCCGGAGGCCGATTTTTATAAACGAAGGGAGCGGATTTTTGAGCAAATATATTAAGCTTTTGATTCGCTTCGAAAAAGCCGGAAGGAACGCGCAGAGTACGACAAGATGAGTGACGACGACCGCGTGAAATTTGTTAAAGACAGAGGGATAGAGAATTCCAAGCCTACCGACGAGGACCTCCGTAATCATCCGCACTTGAAGACCAAGACTGGTGCTTTGCTCGCCTTCGAACTGCACGTAGTCATCAAAGATGACGAAATTGCAAACGTTGAAGTTCATCTCTTTGTGTTGTTCATATCCTTATTTTCGCTTTTTTAAGAATTACTACAATGCCGCAAAGAGGAATCTGCAGGAACCGCGCAATCGAAAAGAGTCTTGGGGCTGCTCCGTTGGGCTCGGGAGAACAACCAGGAACTCGGGTTAAAGCGAGTTCTCGACATTACACAAAAAGATGGCTTCAGGTATTTTGTCGGGCCAGACCAGGACCACTCTGAGTTTGAAGCAGTTTCGAAAATGCATAAAAAGTGGGGGTTAATTGGAGCGCCCGAGTTCGAGGTGTGTCCTCCGTTTGACCGGGGCGCCTTCGCAGCGTTGATTATTATAGGGGTGACGCAGATGATTGGAGGTGCGGCTCTTGCTGTTTTTACCCTGGGCGCCGCAGCCAACTTCGGTGTGGGCCTTGTGGCAGAGGGCGTGAGCGATATAATCACAGCGGTCAAGGATATCTTGATCAATCGGTCTTTCGACTGGGGTCGCTGGGGCGCGGAAAAAGCGGTAAGTCTGGTGTTGAGCCTGGTCACCGCCGGAGTGGGCGTGCTGAAAGAAGCGGCCCGAGTTGCGAACGCTGTGGTCAAGGGCACTGTAGAGTTGAGCAAACGGACCTTAACGGAGGGCGTAAAAGTCGTGGCCCGTACCGCTTTTAAAGTGGTCATCAACGAAGGTGTGCAAGTTCTGGCGAAAGTCGCGGTATCGGACGGACTCATGCCGCATCTAAAAACTGCAATCAAGGTGCACTTGAAAGATAAGGTGAAAGCTTTGTTGTCAAGCTCTGCTGAATTCGAAGCGCTGAAAGAGGCGGATAGTGCGGCTGGAAACAGACAGAACGTGTCGAACGTTACAAAGGCTATTGAAAGTTTGTTACGCCCGGGACAGAATGTAAGTCAGGTCTTTCAGACTCTGGCAGGGGAAATGGTACCAAAACATGGACGCCCGCACCGCTCTATCATATTCATATACATGTGATTGTATCTTGGCAGGCGTTTCAGCTGCGACTTCCTAATTAGTTTTACTGTCGCACTTTTTCAATGTCGGCGTAATCTCATTTTTTTTTTTTTTTTTTTTTTGCTTTTTCTTTTTTTTTTTTTCTTTTGTTGTTTTTTTCTTTTGTATTATGTATTTTCATTATTATTTTTTTTTTTTTTTTCTTTTTTTTATTTTTTTTTGTGTTTTTTTTCTTTCTCTTCCTCTTTTTTTCTTTTTTTTATTTTTTTTTTCCATCTTTAGTTTTTTTTTTTTTTTTCTTGTTTTTTATTATTTTTTTTTATTTGTATTTTTTATTTTTTTTTTTTTATATTTTTTTTTTTTTCAGTTTTTGTGTGTGAGTTTTAGTTTCTTTTTTTTTTATTTTTATTATTATATTATTATTTTGTTTGTGTGGGGTGTTTGTGTTTTATTTTATTTTGTTTTTGTTTTTTTTTTTTTAGTTGCTTTTTCGTTTTTTTTTTTTGGCTTTGTTTTTGCTATTTTTTCGAGATCTTGTGTTGTTTTTTTTTTATTTTTTTTTTTTTTTTCTTTTACAGTATCTTTTGCTTTGGTGTTGTTTATTTTAATTTTTTTTTATCTTTAACTGCTTTTTTTTATTTTGATTCTGTTTTTTTATTACTATTATTTTTTTGTTTTCGTATATGTATATTTTCATTTTTTTAGTTTTTTTTTTTTTTTTTTTTTATTTTTTATTTTTTTTTTTTTTTGTTATTTTTATTTTGATGTTTATTTATTTTTTACTTTTATTATTTTTTTTATTACAGGGATCTCAACGGTGCTTGTGGATCTCAACGTTGAGACCTCACAGCTCAACGTTGAGAAATATATCTCAACGATGAGCAGTGGTTTAGGGTTTCGGGGGTTTAGGGTCGTCGGGCAGGGCAGCCGCCGCCGGCCGGCCGGCCGGCGGCGGCTGCCCTGCCCGACGATTCTCTTGTCGCTTTCCTGCGTTCTTGTTGCCTGGCCCGTTGTGCGCGGCCCCTTGGCTTGTGTGCTCTGTGTCTCGCTATGCGTGGGGCCTTCGCGCGTTTTTCTAACTATCTATGAACCCGCTCGCCGGCACTCGTGTTGCCAGGACCTCTGAAAGGTTTGCTGCGGGGGCTCGGTGCGCACCTTCACGCCACGCAGTTCTTCTGTGCGCAAAGCGTTGAGACCAGTCGTTGAGCTCATCGCGAATCCGTTGAGGCGTCTCAAAGCGTTGAGGCGCAACCGTTGAGATTCACTCGGCACCTTGGGCGCGTTTTTGTATGTTTCCCTAGCTCGGTCACAGGTTTATCCAAAAGTTGGTCATGACCCTTTCCTCTTTTTCGAACTAGGATGAGATCGCCCCCATTGATTCACTCTAGGAGATGATCGCCCCCATTGATTCCAAGCGACGGATCAGCCCCTGACAAATTACCCCAGCGCTCTTCGGAGCCCGGTCCTTCGGGACATATCGGCTACAACGTGGTAGTTGATAGGTGAAATGTCGGGCCCCCACACGGATTCGCGCTTTTAACATGAGAGACTTCGCAAGATTTCCTTCGTGTTTTAGCATAAGGCCGTGCATAGTATTGAGATTCACTCGTTGAGATTCCTGTATAACAACCAAAATAATTCATTTGACGACGCTTTCACCTATAGAAAAAGATTTAGCATACAATGAGCAGCATCACTTGATGACATCAAATGCGCAAGCAAGTGCTAAGGGGTGTACACATCCCGGCAACGGGGTGGTAGCCCAACATCAAGCGATATCAGCTGAGCGTGCGAGCCCTGCGCGGGGCGCCTGGCGACTCAGCTGCTGGGGCGTCTGCGCAACACTCCGCGTACGTGTCTCTATTCCAAGGAATTTTTCCTGGATGAGTTGCGAAATAAAGCAGACACTTATTGCACCCAGACAGGAGTAAAGATACGAAATCGGATTTGTTTCAGTTCGGGGATGGCGCGCTTGGCCTTGTATGTCTCGCAGCGCTTATTGTGGTACAATCTCGCAGAGGGCCTCCGCTTCCGCATTTCCGATAATGCAGCGGCGGTGCCTGTCTGTGTTTCTGACCGACTTCTTCATTGTGAGATAAATCGCAGCCGAACCTTCCGACCTTTTTCATTCTGAACCATTTCATTCATCCTTTTGACACAAAAAAGAAAAGTTTTACTTAAAAAATTGAAAATACAATATACAGTGTGAGGACCAGCGTCGAGGCAGCAAATCCGCAAGGTGATGGGGACTCAGACCCGATCATGCTAGCAAATAAGATAACCCGCGAAACGCAAAGAAGGATTCAGGCTGAGATAGGAGCTCCAAACGCAAGGATGTCGGCGCAGTGGCTTAAGAAATTGGAGCCAAACCAGATAAAGACCTATGTGAGTCTTGCTCATTATCATGAAGAGAAAAAGGAGGGGAGGGCCGGCCACGGCGCTTGTTTGACCACAGCATCAACTGTATTAAGCAACCAAAACCAAAACAGTACGACCACAGGCGGAGCCGTTGAAATCCAGTCTGTGCCGCCACCACTTTCTCCTCCTGGTCCTTGGGTCGCCAATTTTGACGCCGACGACGGACCGCAAGCGAGAGCCTCGATAAAACGCATGGGCCACGGCGACGCCGAAGAGGAGCTTTCGGAGAAAGCAGCTCAGGGGGTAACAAATATCGTCGAGGGAGCAACGCTTGCAGTGTCGTCGACTGCTGCAAGCGCGTGGTGCGCGAAGCGCTTTAAAGATTTTGATGCAAAAACGATGCAGTCTCTCGATCAGGTGCATTCCGTCAACCGCATCACTGCTAATTCCGCTTCCAGCGACTACGCCGCGCAACAGCATGCGCAAGCACACGCGGCCGAGACCCAGGCAGCTGCATTGGCCGGCTTATCCAAACAAGAGCGACGCGAGGCTAAGCGCGCAATGAAAAAAGCGGATATGCAAGTGGCTGGAGACGTTGCCGCCGGGCTTACGAATGATGGCGAAGCGGGTCTTCATATCATATGTAAAAACGTCCCCACCCCATAGTCAAGATGGCAAATCTGCTACACAAATCTCCAAGTTTTCGAAGTTGTGCATGACAAGTGTGCCCCTGCATTGTAGTGCTGTTTAGCAAGGGAAACATCCTGTTTACAGCGTCACAAATTTTTCCAAAACACGGTCGGAAATGGGTCTCTTGGAGCTGCGCATTATAAATGTTCGCGTCATTGCACATTTGCGTGACAACTCTTGGGTGGGGACATTTTTCCTCAGGATACTTCATCACCTTGGCGAGGCTGCGCACGTCGTCGGGCGACCAATCGTCGTGCGCGACAAGAACGGAGACTACGTCACCACACTGGGAAAGGGGCTTCCCGGGGAGCCGGTAGACCTATCGCACAGCGTGAATGCCGATGGATCGGGACACTGGTCGCTAACGCGCGAGGTCCGGAACCCAAACTATTCTCCCCCTGGTCAGGCGGGTGGCGTAAATAATTGCGCTTTCAATGCTATCGCTGCTGCCGTCTACGGGGATCAAGGTCGTGGTGGAGAACTTCGAGGCAAGACTGTGGCTGCTATTGCGAAATCGCCGGGCCGAATCGCAGCTGTTGCCTCGGATATACGCCGCTACCAGCACTACATGGGAGGAGCATGGACACGAGACGGCGACTACATGTGTTTGAAAAAGAACTCTAGCGTGTGGAATACGATTGTCAAGAAGGCCATAGAAAAAAACGAGAAATTTAAGGCACATGCCAAGGATGTAGAGTTTACGGAGATTCATCTGACGGCCAATCAAAGCGCCATGAAAAGCACTGGGACGAGCGAATTTGGTCTGCATTTTACGGGTACTTTTAGTTGGGCCCAACAAATCGGAAAAACATCGAAGCACCGTTTGGAGAAGATGCACTGCCACTACCAAGCTGATAAAATGTTACACAACCAAACTGGGCGACCCGCCGATCCCAATCATGGAAACAATATCATCGTCTACAGCCCACTTCACAGCGGCGCCAAACTAACGGCAAACCAATGGCAGTTCCACACAGACCTCTACCACAGTAACAACGACAAGGCACAATTTCACAGAGAGATCTTGCAGCAGGCACGAATTCACTTCTATCACGCCGCGAAACAGGCATATCTCGGAAGCAGCGCTCGTTTCCAGCCAAATTACGGCCCTGACGGCCGCAATCCCGGTAGTAACGACGTTGTCGGATTTTCTCCAAATAGCACGATTGCCAAAGATGCCGCACTCCTGCTTTCGTCCACGCCCGAGAATTACCTGACTAGAGCCAAAGGTGCAATTCACTACTTAATATCGAAAACACCTCAAGCGCAAAATATTACATGTCCTTGCGGCAAATTCTGGCAGGCAATTCAGATAGATCGAGAAAAGGATCGGCAAAATAAGTGAAGACATCGAAGGAGTGGGCCAACATGTCGGACGTGGCTTGTTGAACAACTGCCGCTCCAAGGGTGCAGAATGTGGAAAAATTTAGAGCAGGTAGCACGGCTTGTGGCCCGCTTGAATAGTGATGTAATGCGTAGGAGTTATGAATATCAATTTTGCAATTTTTTTTTGCTTTTTTCTTCGCAGCGGAAGCTGCGTCTTCGCCAGCGTGGATCAACTCTTGACAATCCATTGTGTTGACGAAGTAGTATCAAAGACCCTTGTCCATTTTGGAAAGTTTTGGCCTCCTGAAACCGCCAAAAAAGAAAGATTTTTCGTAACTCAAACAGGAGTCATAATAAATGCGCCCACGAGGTGTGGTCTGATACAGAACTACTGACCAATCAGCAAGCGGTGGAACTTGTGGAGAATCTTCTCTGACAACTTCCTGGACAACTAGAAACGACATGGCAGAATTGTCCAGAAAACTGAAAACAATTATCTATAGACTACAATTTTGATTTTACGTTGCAACATATACTAAGTGAAAGAACTCTGCCGGGCGCGAGGGTGCCGGCTACTTGTTGTAGCAATCCTACTAGTGGAAAGCTGCTAGTCGAAACAGGCCCACTAGTAGAAATCCTGCTAGTGGTTTTATGACCACCATCAAAACGGGCTTCCCGCTACTAGTGACGCTCCCGTGGTGCCCTGCACTAGAAAGAACACTAGTGCAGATATGGCGCGAGAGGTCGGTGTGGCCGCAGACGGCAGAGAACTACCGGGCCGCCGGGTAGTCTTTGGACCTGTCGGCCGTGGCATATTGTCCCGACCTTTGCCCAGCTGCCTGGCGGTTCACGATTGGCCGCCCCGGGCTGGAGACGGGCTGCAATTTGGACCCCCTTGACGCCCGACCTCAATTTCTAAGGCGCAGGCACCAGATCTCTTCTTTTTCTGCGGCCTGTGCCTCTGCCGCCCGTCCCTCCTCGCCCCCTCGAGGCAGCCTGCTTTTGCTCCCCCTCTTGGGTATTCCCGGGGCGCTCGATGTACCACTCGCTCCAGGCCCTGTCTTGGCGCTTTCGCGCGCTTTTTTGGCCTCGTCGGCAAGCGTCGCGGCCTCCTGATTTGCGTTTGCCTTGTTTGGTTTTGGGACTTCTGGCTTGTACTTCTAGAACGAACCACCCTGAGCGCCTCGGCCGCCTGCCTTTCCGTCGGCCTCCTCCCTGTGTTTCCTTCCCAGGTGCCTGCCGTGCCTCGAGCGTTGTGACCTGTGGCGCGATTTTCTCGTTCTGTTTCCTGCGGCTGGCCTCCCGGGCCTTCGACAAGGTTCTGCAAACGCTTGCCGCCGGCCATGTTTGTCAGGGCTCGGACAGGATCCGCGCCCCTTGTGGCCTTGTCTAGTATAGCCGCGGGCTTTTCGCCCACCCCACAGGCCTCCGGCATGTGTGTTTTCTCTGTTTTCCGCCTGTGGCGCCAGGGTGATGTGTCTTTTTATCGAAAGTAACACGTCTTTTTATCGAAAACAGAGAAAAACACACGTCTTTTTATGCCCATATTATTCACCGTGAATACTATGGGCATAAAAAGACGCTGGGTTTCTGCCTCCGGACGCTTTTATCCCCCTCGCCCCCCCTTGCACCCCCAAGTCGCCGGGCCGGCGGGCGCGGAGCGCAGGCGCGCCCGCTCTAGATAGAAACTAAGGACGTGTAAGAATTTTCTAAAAAAGTGCGCTCGCTTGAAATGCAAAGAGAGTCTGTCAACATTTTTTCGTGCTGGGTGGGCGTGACAGCACACACTCCATTCATTTATTGAAAAATTGGTAACCTTCTGAACTAAAAGAATAGAAAAACAATTGCACCCCATTCATAGAATAAGTTATAACCGCATCCTGTGGACACTGGACAATTTATTTATATGAGTATATTATATTCTACTTCTAGGAGAATATAGATGCTCGACGCCGAGGAGGCAGGCTCGACTTATGTACGATAAGAAATATTAAGTAAGACTAGAAGGGCAACCACCTGGAAATCAATGGTCGAAAGTCCTCAAAAGTCATGTTGAACTGCAAAAGAAGCATACATGGAAAATGTACTCGAAAAATAAATGTTTGAATTCCCTGTTTTCTTTCGTGAGTGAATGCGCGACAGCTATGACCTGCAGAAGGAGACGCACAGTTTCAGTGTGATCGCAAGAAAGAGCAGCAACATCTTCACGTCTAGTGCTAGTTGATTTGAATATGGGTGGAAAATACACTTGTAGTAGATGAAGCAGGACGGCCATATCAAAATGAATGAATAAGATCACTTGTCAGAAAATTCGTACATACTTCCAACATCCCTGCCAGTCGCCTATTATTCTGGTGCCGCGGCGGATTCTTGTTCTTTTTTGACGGGTGTTGTTTAATGCCTTGAGGCAAGACAGATTTGCTTCGAGCGTCAACGATGATCCCGCGATGCACAACGCGTACTAGAGTCTTCGCCTTGATGTTGTGGCGTCAGTCAAAAACTGATCGCCGGGGCCGGGGCACCGCTAATTCTCGGATACAATTTCGCTAATAGTACTTTTGCAACAGTGAATTGATCTGAAATCTGAAGTCTTAAGAAGGAATGGATCTGAAGTCGGGAGGTTCTTCAAGCTGAAGTTCCTCAATTAGAGTCCTTACCTTGACGGAAAATCTCGCGCAGAGCGCGAATACTGTAGATTGTACGGTTTAGGGCAGAGCAGGGCAGCCGAAACTGTAGACCTCTCGCCTTTGCTCTCGCTCTCTTGCCCTGGTTGCGCCGACGCCCCGCGTTGTCCGCCCTTGTGTTGTTACTCCCGTGTGGTTCTCCTTGTCTGCGTCAGCCGGCCGTGATCACCCTGGACACCATTACGAACGATGGGCCGCACCTCGGCTGCCGCTTCATCAATCTAGATAGACACTTCAACTTCTTGCTTTGCTTAACGCGATTTCACAACAATCGTGATTGGATCGACTTGATTCCAAAAGTGAATCTGATTCCAGATTTCACCTAGCGTGATATAGGTGACTTTCTTTAGCTTCGGAGCCTTTCCGCGCAGGAGTTAGTTTTGTTTTGCACACGTTGCGCCGGCTGGTGCAATGCTACTTGTCTACAAAGCCGAAAGAACAGAGCAGTTTTTGTTGGTATTGTTGCAGCCATCTCGGCTCCGGGACGCGCACTAATAGGCACCTGGCGCATACGATGTGTGCGTACCATTGTCAGCCCAGAGCGCTGCCAGCTGTAATGGGAAACTGAACGCCCACACTCAAGTTCGGAAACGCAGCCTTCTCTCACCCCGATACAGTGCGTGCGCAAATGACGGAAATATCCGCACACCTATAGCAATAAGCTGCTGGCAATAAGTTGCCTAGCCGCCGCCTTCAACCTAAACCGGCCGCGCCGGTCTTCTACACGCAGAAGCCCTCAACGCACGTTGGCAACCCTAATCATCATCATTGTCATCTTGATCATCATCATAAAAATCACCATCGTTGTCACGCCAGTGACTCTCCTGTGTTTAATTTTACCAGTCACGCTTGAGAAAAGCAAAAGACCTTACACCGTAGAACCACAAGAGCGCCTTGATCTTACCAGTTACGTTGTTGGACATATTATTTAATCACACTGGCTAGCGCCCATTGATTTGTAAGTACCCGCGCACTATCGTCTGTAATATTATAGAAAAATTCAACTACAGGGATTATTGAGTATAATTGTGTTTTTGCAAAATGAACGCTGCACCGTTTTCAGCATGTGTAGACCCCCGCGGCCGGGACGCATCTGCTGTGGAAAACGAGCTGCACAACGCACCGCCCGGTGTGGGACATCAGGAATCAGTTGAGGTTCTACATCCCAGGCAAGATGGCGATATCGATCGCTGCGTCACAGTTTTTAACCTTGCTGGCGATCCAGTCTGCCGAATCAAACGCCCATCCCAACCAGTAAATTATCCGCACGGCCTGGATAGCGCAGTCAGCACGTCCGGGGTTGCAAAGCATGGAGGTTTGCCTTCGAGTCTTTTGAAACAGAAAAATTCTATCAAGGAACGGAATGCACCCGAAAGCATCCCAGCGAAAGAGATCGTCGAGCCCACCTCACTAGCTTCTGACTCGAGGCTTTTGCTGCGAAACATAATGGAGAAAGTCGAAGCAGCGACCGGCTACGCCGCCGAGGACCACAGCTACTTTTGGCATTACGCAAAGGGCCAGAAAAATAGCGAGACCGGCGCGTCGTCTTCTCATGATGTTGTCGAGGAAGCCGACGACGATCACGAGCAGCTGGCTGAGGACGCTGCAGAAGACTTATCAAAGGTTGACTTTTTCTATGATCCACTACTACCAATTCCAGAAGAGGTCGCAATGTTGTCTGTCATTTTTGACAGACACCCTTCAGAGACCCTAGAGTGGGTGTCTGAGCATGTAGAGCAGAAAATCCAATTTTCTTTTCGCGATAGCATCCGCTGTGAAGATGCTGGCTCCGTGCCTGAGCAGGCAGCTTTTTTGGTCGAGGATCGCGACCAAGGGGCGAAGCACGAACAGGAGCGCGAACAATTGCAAGCGGATTCTGAGGAGGCCAATGTCAGCGACCCAACAAGAGATGAACGACACAACTACCTCCTTGCGGTTGTAGAGCGAAAGTATCCCGAGTACCGCAAGAACGAATCATTTTTGGCGAAATTTCTAACAACTGCCATGCCGATGTTTCTTGCCCCGTCACTGAATCCGCTGTCCCTGCCGTGGGATTTTGCGCGCCTCTTTGCCTCAAGCAAACAGCGTGCACTTGTTGCATGCAAGGCCAATGGACTTGCGTTGAAGCATTTGTGCTCTGCACTTCGCGATGACGTGGAGGTTGTGCGCACTGCGGTTTGCTGCGACTGGCGAGCGTTGCAATATGCCTCAGAACGGGTTCGGGAAATGGCCGATGCTCAGACTGTTTCCGACGCGGCGCGCCAGTGCGGGTGGGCCTTAAAGTACTTCGCAGCCGACTCAAAAGCAAGTCCTGAATTGGTCCGAACTTGCGTTCGGCACAAGCCTTGGGCGATTCAGTATGCCTCCGAGGGCCTTTGGGACGACAGCGACACCATGGCCTGCGTGGCTAAAATAGACGGCCTTCCTGCTCTGAAGTACGCGTCACACCGATTACGAGCTAGCGAATGGTTGGTGAGGCTAGCGGTGCAGACCAACGGGCTAGCAATCAAGTTCGCCTGCAGCGAGGCTCGGGCGAATTACGAGATCGCACTTCTTGCCGTTCGTAATAATCCATACGCAGTCCGGTACTTGGCGCAGGAGCTGCGCCGAACCAATCGCGAGCTTCTCTGCACAGCCCTCGACGTCTACACAAAGAATGAGGAGAAGCGAGCCGCCCTTGATGACGTCTACGGGCAGAAATTTTTCTGCGAGAATCTGCACTACAGCGCTGTCACGTGTAACCGCGGGCCGTGGCACTGGTTTCACGAGTGGGACGGACGGCATCTAAAGCATGTGGATTTTAGTGGGCTTGTTGAGCATCATTGTGACTCCTGGTGTCGTGAACACCATCCCTCACATCGCGAGGCGGACCCACCTCATCACGAAGACCATTCTGCAAGTCAGGACGAGCCTGCACAGGTTCTTGATTTGCAAAACGGAAACGAAATGCACGCGAATCTTCCGGATGGGGACCTCGCCCGCACTCACGGTGCTCAGCCGCCTCCAGAGCTCGGACTAGAAATCTTGTCCAGTGCTAGTCGAGAGCTACGAGACGACGAAGAATTTGTGACTCTTTGTCTTGAAGCGAGTCCCGCGTGCTTCGAATTTGCGAGCTCCAGAATCCGAAGTAACGGTCGCTTTGCTTCTCACGCCGTTCGAAAATTTTGCAAGGGGGATATTGTGGTGGAAGAACCTGCTGACGCTGGAGGCAGCGATTTGATTGACAGATATGACGAGCGCAGAGAGCTTACGGATGCGTGTCCAATGCGGTTTGCCGGCGAACATCTACGAGCCGACGCATCCTTCCTGCGAGCAGTGCTTTTCGATGAGAATATATTAATGTCCTCCCTAGAAGCTACAATCATCCTCTCCCACGCGGACGAGAAAACAAAGGCAGCTTTCTACGGAGAAGACGTAGAGTTGTCGACGCAATTTGCTCAGCGGTATCCGACTGCGCTTCGGTGGATGCCCAGAGGCTTCAGGCGGGATCGAGAAATAGCGCTTCAAGCGGTTCGCGCAAACGGGGAAGCGATCAAACACTTCGGAAGCCGCATCAAATCTGATCGCGAGGTAGGTTTCGTGGCCGTTTCTCATGAAATGGAAAATATTTTCTGCCCCTGGACACTCGAATACCTGCACAAGCGGCTACGCCGCGATGAAGGTATTGTGCGCGCTGCGATTTGCAGAAATGTACATTCCCTTCGCCACGCATGCCGATATCTCCGAGGTACTCCTGAAATCGCTTTTCTGGCTGTGTCAAAAGTATCCCGCGGAATTCAAAAAATATCGGTGCTCACTTGTTTTTGTACGTCGCAATGTCGCGCATTGTCTGGACAGGATGCATGAATGATGGAAAAATAGAACTATTGCAGACGCTGGCTAGAGTAGATCTCTCAAAACTAAGTGCATCTATGTACTTGTTCTTTTTGTAATACTACAATAAACTCAACGAGAAGGAGAGGAAAGTCAAATTATCATGTCTCTGCGTACATACCATCATGCTGCAAAGGTCCACAGCCTTTCGAAATTATGAGAATCCGATACTTTTGCATGCTATGACGTGACGGAAATGCGTACAACCACATCAACTTCAACCACTTCGAGGAAGTAGCGCCCATCGACAGCCAGAGAGATCTTGCACGACTTGCAATTCGCAATGGGTTGAGCTGTGCCGGTCATCTGCACAAGGCTCTCGAGTTGTGCAATTGGGAGCGCGCTCTTGTCTTTGTTGCACTTCAAAACTGTGGCACCTTCTTTGGCGAGTTAGAGAATTTCCCTGCGGAACTTATGATGGATCACGAAATTATTTGTTGGGCGCTCAAAAAAAGTCCCTTTCCAACTGGGTTGTGGTCGTTGGAGAGAGCAGAGCAGCGCGGTGTCAAAGAGTACGTTCTCCTCGCCGTTGCCCGGTATCCCTACGCCATCGCCTTTGCATCAAAGGAAATGCAGTGCCACCCGGAGGTTCTGAAGCTTCAGCGCGAGAAGTGGGGGCATGTGAATTTGATGGACAAGCATTGGCGCTTTGCACTGCCAGTCGCGATGACGCGCCTCTGATTTACAGTGAGCCGCGATCGGTTAATCAAATCCAGCTGTCCGCGTGTCAGTAAGCAACGTTAAACCAGGACGACACTTCGAAAAACTTTTGGAGCCTTACACTCTGACGGAAGTACTTTTTATTGTAGAGGTGACAAACAACAGCACTGCAACTCAATAGCGCACTTGTGTTGATCCTGGCTCGTTTCCAGTGAAAATATACAGCAAAAACGGAATTGTGGACATACAGGATATCAAATTGTGGACAATTATTGCTGTGGTTTTCTTGAAATCTGAGCATCTGTGGTCCATACAGGCAGCAGTATTTCTGATCATTTCTCATTCTCTCTATGCCAGCGCCTCCCGTGGAACATGATACTAATTTGATTCGGCGCCTAAGAAAACAAGATCTTGACGTGGACAAGTATGGGCAAACCAACTACCAGTGATTTTGACGCTTCATCCGGAGATCAACCATGAGGAATTTTTGACGCGCAGCCAAACTGTCACTTCTTTCAGGTGCCCTCGTCGTAGCAAGCAGCTGTTCAGTACCTAGTACGCCAGTTATATATGTGATCTGGTGGAAGTGGCGACGCAAGCAAAATGAAAAAGAGTGAAAGCGAAATATTCTGACCTCCGGAGGTTCTAGTCAGTGTAGTTCCTCGATTAGACTTGTCATCTTGAGTAGAATTATCGCGCTTCGCACCAATATTGTAATTGTAACAATTTTAACCCATGCTCAGCAGTGCTCGCTTCGTCGTGAATCTCATGTAGCTTGTTCATCTCCTACTTGTGTGAGAAAGACCATGGATCATTGGATTTGAATCCCGCAGAAACACAGAATGACACAAAATATAGAGGAAGGCGTATTTCTACAATTATCGAGGAGCAGGCTTTTTTAGCAGTGTGGCTATTGAAAACAGGAATAGCCGGAGGATGTGAGGCCGAGATCCATGAAAGAAAGTTTTACCTCTTTTCGCTCAATGAATTTAACCAATTTTTTTCGGCCTCTATCTGTTGATAAATTTTTGAAGCCAATCTTTCATGGAAGGCGCACGTAGAAAGGGAAAATGGATGTCAGACCATTGAATCAGTCGTGACATTCTCCTGGCATGAGGTCCGCCGGCTGTAGTCAAGAAAAGTGCCCTCAAGAGCCAATCCTTTTCCAATTTTTTCGCTTCTTTCAGAAGACGACAAAGTAAGTAACTGCCCTGCCTCCAGCTGCTAAGTTTTCAGCGGTCGAATGCGTATTCTACCTAGAAGTTGTTGCTAAGTACATTTTCGTGATTAGAAATTCCAAGCTCAGTTTCAGCCCTGCTTCATGTAAAACATTTCTGCAAATCACCTACTTCTCAGCACACTTATGTTCGAGCAGAAGCAGGTGCAACTCCTACGCTCACTTCATGATTTCTCGCATTTTGCGCAGTCGTATTTTTTGCAAGGTCTACCAGCGCGACCTCTAACCACCTTCATCAGAAGATGAGCATTTGGTCACTGAGGGACTCTGACTCGCACCACATTGATAGCGCAGCTGAATACCCTCGGATCAGAGTTTGTAATCTTGCAGGTGACCCCGTGTGCGAACTCAGTACATCAAGTGAGCAACGACCGGAGACATGTACACCTCTGACGCAAGAGAAATCCTACGACTTATCGTGCCACGGTGCCGCCCGCGCCGCAGAAACCGAAGCAGCGTCTTTCCACGAAGCTGGACGCAGCAGCCAAAGCGCAATCGTGTCAGAGGTCCGACTGGGAGCGATTATGCAGATGGTCGAAGCCGCAACGTCTCACCCCGCGGAGGACCAGATGTACTTCTGGGGCAGTACTTATGATAGGCAGCAACCAATCGAAGCGTTCGAGCCTCGCTCGGAAGCGGAACACGCGGAAGAGCAACGTCGTGGGCATCCTGCGGAAGAACAAGAAAAATTCTTGTACGACCCTCGGCTCGCAATTCCAGTCGACGTCGATATAGTAACTGTCGTCTTCGACGAGCGTCCGTCGAAAGCTCTGGTGTCCATCTCCAACTACTTGGAGAGGGAAGCTTGGCACTGCTTCCATCATGCTCTTGGTACCTTTGGGAGGGATTTTCTAGAAGAGTCTGCTTTTTGGTCTGATGATGAAGAAGGAGCCGTAACGAACAATCTACACGGCGCTGCAGCAGAAGAGGACGACGCTGACAGCATCCGCGAGTTAGGCAATGAAGCCACCGACTACTGCATCCGCGTAATTCAACTGAAGTATCCTGAGTATCGGTGGAACTTGTCGTTTTTGCAGAAGTTTGTCGAGCTTCGAATGCAGATTTGTCTTTTACCGGGCCAGGATCCGAGATGTTTAAACGAAGATTTCGTTCGGCTGTTCAACTCTGACAAAGATCTGGCCCTAGTAGCATGTCGCGCGAATGGGCTGGCGCTTAAATATTGCGACCCTGCACTTCGTGATGACATTGAGGTAGTGCGTGTTGCTGTAAAGTGTGATTGGCGAGCACTGAAATACGCAGCGCCAACAGTCCGAGCCTCGGGCGATCCAGAGATGATCGAATCTGCGGCGCACCAATGCGGTTGGGCCTTGAAATACTTTTCCGAGACAACACAAAACGACGCTCCTGTGGTGCAGCTCTGCGTGAAGAGCAGGCCCTGGGCAATTCAGTATTCCTCGACATTGCTTTGGGACGACGACAAAGTCATGGCCTGCGTCGCCAGCGTCGATGGTCTACCTGCACTCAAGTACGCTTCGAAGCGGCTGCGAGCCTGCACGAAGCTGGTGAGGATGGCAGTGCAGAGCAACGGTTTAGCAATTAGATTTGCCTCCGAGGATCTGCGAGCCGATCGAGAGATCGCGCAGCTTGCCATTCGAAACAACCCTTATGCGGTCCGCTACTTGCAGACCCGACTGCGCAGAACTGATCTCCAGCTACTTCGAGCCACCATGAAGATGCATCTCAAGAAGACCGAAGCCGAACGTCGCACACATGCAGACACAAACGGTCAGAATTTTTTCTACGGGATGAATAATTTTTATTTCAGCTATAGTACCGGCGAGCCACAAGAAGAATTTTTGCAGCGTGACGGACGGCATCTCAAGCATGTGGAGTTCCGCGGGCTCGTAGAGCATCACTGTGACTGCAGGTGCAGGGATCACGATTTGCTCTTCAACAGGGATGCGCGCGAATTAGTAGGCGGCGAATTAGATGACACTGAAGCTGGCAGAGGCGATGGGACCGGTTTGCCCGTGGCAGTGCAGCCTGCCGAACGAGCCGTATGTTGGTGAAGACCTTCCGCCGTTGAACACCCACGCAATTCCACTTGTACTTAATTTCCTCCAACGGCGCATCCGACCGAGCGAGCCTTACTTTATTATGTATGATTTACTTATTTATAAATATTTCTACGGGTACGGTCCGTAGCTGCAAACAGAAGAGAGACCGAGGGCATGAGGAGGACTCTAGTCCTTGAATAAATATTCAGATACGCGCATGATTAATTAAAGTGCAACATGCTTCCATAGAGCACTCATCACGGCGCGATCGTGCAGTGTCGCCAACTCTTTTCGTTTCAGTACTGGTTGTGTCAAGGCTACATGCGTTGCGCCACGGATATCATTCGAAGGGGATGGGGACTCGATGGTGGAACATTTTTCATCGTTTTAGTTGGTGGGAGATGAAGACCGACACAACTTCCCGCCGAACAATAGCGCGGGTTTTGACCGACATGATGGCCCTCGACCCCTCGGACTAGAAGTATTGCATGGTGCTAGCCCCGGCTTACAAGACAACAACGAACTGGTAGCGCTTTGCGTCGAGCACACCCCGGCGGCGCTAGAGTTTGCAAGTGCGAGACTGAGACGCGACAGTGGTCTCGTTCTACTGGCAATTCGGCAATTTTGCAAGGGTGTTCAAGTGGAAAATTATGACGGTATCAGCTGGAGGATGTGGAAGCGCGAGGACGACAGCAACTTCTCTGCGTCCTGTCCCTTTCAGTACGCAGGAAAGCAGCTCCGGTCTAATATTGATTTTTTGCGAAAAGTACTTCTCGAGAGTGACATCGACATGTGCTTCGAAGAAGCGGAGCTTATCCTGTCTCACGCCGAAAAAAACGTACGCGCAGCCTTTTATGGGGGTTGCCCGGAATTAGCCACACACTTCGTGAAGCAGTACCCAAAAGCTGTCCGCTTGCTGCCGCGAGAATTTCGACAGAATCGGCAGCTTCTACTGGAGGTGCTCACTCGTGACGGAGACGCAATCAGGTATTGCAGCAGTCGCATGAAGTCCGACAAAGATATTGCAGTCGCAGCTGTTTCACACGAACTGAAAAACACGGACCTGCCCCTGATTCTCGGGCGTCTAAAAAGGACTTTGCGAGCGGACGACGCCGTGGTACGGGCTGCAGTTCAGAGGAATGGGATGTCTCTTTCTTCAGCACCGGGAAATTTGCGCGCCAATGCGGAAATAGCGGCCTTGGCGGTGTCAAATTTATCAAACAGAGAAAAGTCCTGAATTCAAAGCTGTACAAAGTGCATGGGCTTGTATAGGCTGCAGTAAAGTCTAGTGTAGGCTGCAGAGTGGACTGCCATGAAGAGCGCAGGCTTCGTCCCTCAATAATTTTTATTTCGTATCTATTAATTAATTTCAAAAATTTGTAGACAAAACGGGGGCACAACATTCATCGTTCTTGAGCAGCAGTTCTTCTGTGCGGGGAAAGAGGGCTCTCGCAAGGAAAGTTCTGTCTTTAGCCAGACCGGATCAACAATCATATGCGCATCGAGAGGTCTGACAATCAATGTAGCATAGAGCTCAAGGTCTTTCTTTTTCCATACAGACATGGCAATGCGTACGGCTCCATCAATTTCCACATTCTAGGAAAGACGATGTCCCCCGACGAACAAAAAAATCTCGCACGACGCGCTATCCTGAACGGGCTCCGGCGTTCCGAGTATTTCGTTGAGAAGGCCTTGCAGTTGTGCGAGTGGGACCGCGCACTTGTATTTGAGGCGCTCAAGAACTGCGGAACTTTATTCGACATTCTTCCCACAGAACTGCAGAGTGATCACGAAGTCATATGTTGGGCACTTCGGAACAGTCCATTCCCGATGGGGCTGTGGTGTTTGCAACGAGCGGAGCAGCGTAACCGAAAGGATTATGTACTTCTCGCGGTTCCCCGTTATCCATTCGCCATCGCCGGACGTAGGCCGGATCATCCCCCTCAAGATAAGATCACCCCCCTCAAGTTTTCAAGATCACCCCCCTCAAGGGCATAGGGTTTAGGTTTTAGGGCTTAGGGCTTAGGGTTTCGGCGGTGTCGTCTGGGCCAGCCGTCGCGACGGCTGGCCCAGACGATTCCCTTTTGCCCCTTCCTGTTCCGGTTTGGCGGCACGCATCGCCTTGCCGCCCTCGCCCCCCCTGTGTTTGCTTCCCCTCCCCTTTCCCCCTTCGTTGGTTTGCCGTGACCCCGCTCGGGGGGACGCGCTCATTGTGCCGCCTTTGTTGCCTCGGGGCGGGGGCGAGGCGCCAGGCGCTCCCGGGCTTCCTCGCCCGCCTGGCTGTAGCACATCTTGAGCCAGGAAACCTGTTCGAAGGCCTTCCAGCAAATACCAACGCCGCCCCGCCCTGCCCTCGGTCTGCCTGCCCCCGGCCTCGCACGCTCGTTGCCCCCTACCTTCCTGCCCCCGGCCCACCCCCTGGGCCCCCTCGCCCCCCCCTGCATCTTGAGGGGGGTGATCCTTGGGGGGATGATCCTGCCTATGTCCGCCATCGCCTTTGCATCGAAGGAAATGCAGCAGCACCCGGAGATTTTACAGCTTCATCGCGAGAAGTGGGGGCATGTGAATTGGAAGGACAAGCATTGCCGCTTCGCACTGCAAGTCCAGATGACGCGCCTCTGATTTACAGTGAGCCGCGATCGGTTAATCCAGCTCTCCGTGTGTAAGTACTTAAGCAACCGTAATCCAGGACTACACTTCGGAAAACTTTGGGAGCCTTACACTTTGACGTATTTTCCATTGTAGAGATGACAAATAACAGTACTGCAATTCAATAACGCTCATTTGAGTCGATCCTGGCTCGTTTCTAGAGAAAGTGTACGGCAAAAAGGGAACTGCCCCTCTTGCAATTGGCTTCTCGTCCAGCCACTCCATGCGAGAGAAAGTGCCAGCCAGACGTGGAAAATTCTCTAATTTGCTCTGGCAAACTGATTATTGTGACCAGCTATTTTTTATAACAGGTAATAGCAGTCCGTGGAAAATGTGAGAGGCCTATAGCCACAGCTTGACTTTGGGATCGTGCACTACGTACATCAAAGATGAAGATATCACGTTTTGAAAGATGAAGTGTGAGTCCAGGAAGTGTACCCTGAATCCGGAAATTTTCTTCCACTGGCTCTGAATATGGATTGAAATCTGACTTAGTAGTCCAATCCCCTTCACGCGCCGGCAGGTGAATTCGTGGTTCTTGAGCTCCTTTGATGCCTTGTTGTCGTATGCTGCAGCGTTTTCACAGTGTTCAGGCGTCACAGGTGTAGGAGATGATCTCTTCTGAAGCTGATCCGGTGCTCGATACAACGTCCGAAGATACTTAACTTCGCTGTCATCTGCAATGGCTTCGCATCATCAAAGATCCATCGGACACGGAATAAAGGAGAGCTTCCTCCGCGAAAAATAGCACGTACTAACTTGGGTATCCACGGCGCAGTCTGGAGCTGTCCGCGCCAAGATCAGGATCATCAATTTTTGTGATGTCAATCATAGGCTGCTCCAGATAATCAAAGCGCTCTCCGAAGTTACACAACGAACGAGACAAAATTGCATCGCAGATGCAGTTTTGTTGCTGTCAGCGACAAAATACTGAGTTACGGGAGCAGGCACGTTGATCGCGTGATCAGTTGCCGCATGCACAAACGTTCGGCATTTTGTTGCAGAAGAATGGATGCTTATAGCTGTTTCTGGTAGTTCGTGATCACAAGGAAGATCTCTACAACATCTCTGCTGCTCGCAGCGATATGATTACTTTCGCGTTGTGGAGGGGGTTTGGATAAGTAGGAAAAAAACACTCTTGAAATTTTTGCAATTATTGCACGGTATTTCAGGTCCCGCCGCTTTTCCACCTGCGCCTGCCTGGTTCTGTTATCTTCATGACTCACTCTCACATGTATGGAAGTGCACCACGCGATATAGTGTGGCCTCAAAAAGTCTTCTTGGGGTGCTTGTCTTTGATCTTTCTCCGATCGTCATGAGTTTAGGATGGCAGATAGAATATTTTTCTTATATTTTTGTTCTTCAACCGACTGCCCGATACGTCAATCCGAAAGGCGCAGGACAGCTCGCGTGTTTAGACTCAGCATATTATTTTTCCGTTGCTCTTTCTCGTGCTATGTGGGGTGAGAAAAAAAAGTGCGCATGCGCATCTTATCAAAGATATAATGCAACAGCGAGCTTAAGGGAAGACCTTGCTCAGTAGAACCACAAGAGCGCCTTCACCTTACCAGTTTCGCTGCTGGAAATGTTGATGATACTGGCAAATAATGTCTGGAGTCACAGAGCACGACCGAGGCAGTGGCGATCCTGAAGTCGAAGGCCGTTGCGACTTGTCGCCTCATGCTCATCAGATAAGGATTACAGATCGTGGCGGAAACCATCTGAGCAGTTTTTTTGTACCTGCAGCTCGCGACCACGTTCTACTGCGAGAAGTAAAGGACCACCTTGTCGATACGCTGGGGCGGGCTGCTTGCAGCTTCGCGGGACAGGGAGCTGTTATTCAGGAGAAGCTAGTAGCGGAGATATGCACACGGAATTCGAGCACATGTACTGGAACAGAGTATCCATCCGAGGAGTTCGCACGCATTGCTCTGGGGAAGTCCGAAGATGACGGCGCATGCATTGTCTGGGATGGGCGCTTTTCCGTTCCGCTTCACGGTACAGATTCTGAGGAGGGTATTACCGAGATTCAAGTTGTTTTTGATGGTCGCGCACAGGAGGCGCTCGACTATGCCCGACAAAACTTAAGGGATGTATCCGAAGAAGATTTGGACTTCCGAGGTGCCGCCCATCCTTCGACCAACTGCGCTGCAAGCGATATCTCGATTGTCGCACATGATGAGGTCGCAGACAACAGCTGGGACAGTCGTGACTTGCCGCACCAGATAGACGGCCGGTCCCCGTTCGGCCGATGCTGTTGCCTGAGTGGCTCTCAAGGAAGAAGATGCCTACTAAAAAGAATAAAGAACATGTACCCCCAGGGCATTGAGACGACCTTCGGCGTATGTGATTTCGAGTTTCGCGAAGAGCTTGTGAGAATCATCATGGAATCGTCAATGCTTTGGAGTCCTCGCTCAAATCCGAAGCTGATCCAGATGGCTACCGATGCAGCCCTCTTTCGTACGGACAAGCAACTCAGCATTCTTGCGTGCGGAATCAATGGGTTAGCGCTGCGCTATGTAACGGCAGATCTTCGAAAAGACGCGGAACTTGTCAGAATTGCCGTTGCCGCAGACTGGCGGGCTTTGCGCTTTGCGAGCCTGAAGATTCGCTCGTCGCTCGAGCATCTGGACATCGCTCGTTCTGCCATCGCAAATAATGGGTGGGCCTACAAGTACCTTCGTGGTCAGCTTCGACAGCAGCTCGATCTTGTCCAATTAGCCGTCGAACACAAACCGTGGGTCCTCCGATACGTTCCGGCCGAAAAACTTCTGTCTGCAGAAGTCTTCGCATCCGCGGCGACAGCTGACGGCGTCCCAGCTTTGAAGTTTTGCCCTCCAACCCTGCAAACCAAGGACTTGCTGAAAAGCGCCGTCCAGTCGAACGGGCTAGCATTGAAATATGCTTCTTCCACTCTCGTGGACGCGCCGATTGTAGAGCTGGCTGTGGAACAGAATCCTTACGCAATACGATTCGTCACCGACAAGAAGCTGCGGAACGACGCTCAGCTTTTGTTGAAGATTCTAAACGGCCCGAGTCCCATGTTGAGAACTGACTGGCATTGTGATCCGTTGCGCGAAACGAAGAGACGGAGATCGGACCGGAACGATACACCGTCTTGGTGCTCACCTCTTCGCCCATCCACGAACTTTGAGAGTGCAAGGAATGGGCCTGTCGCTTCCGTCCGAAGCAGCTGCGCTTGCTCAACGTGCTTACTCACGCAGACGAAAAGCACATATGAAGCAAGAAGCGCGAGTTGGTATAGGCACAATACTGCCACCCGGCGGTCGGTTTGTTTGTTGCAACGCTACATCCACGTGTCCGACTTTTGCGGAGACGGTGAGCACATCTGCAATGCAGTTTGCCGGGAGCAACTGCATGACTATCCGATGACCGATTTCGGGCGTCGCAGCGAAGCCCTTGCGCGCTGCTTCGACCACCTGCAAGAAGATGAAGTAGGTTCTGTGTCCGAGGATCTAGCCGCCTTGATTCTGCAAGACTCTCCTGACGACGGTGTCCGTGATGATGAGCACATCGTGCGCCGGTGTGTTCAGCTGAATGGGCTTTCACTGGAACACGCAAGCCTGCGACTTCGGCGTGATGGCGACATCGTTCGAGAAGCAGTTGCTCAGAACCATGACTCTCTTCTATTCGCTGCGGATGAGCTTCGCTCAGACCCGGAATTTGTGGTGTCGCTGATGGAAGATGCTTGCGCCGCGGTTTTTTGGAATGCGGACAAGTCGAGCGTCCAGGACGTTCTACTACACGGGAACCCGCCGGAACAAGAGTTGTCTGTCCGAGCTCTGCAAGCGCACCCGTGTCTGCTGCAATTTGCTTCGCAGGAGCTCAAGTGTGATGATTCTGTTGTGGAAGCTGCGGTCGCTGCCAACGGGAGAGCGTTAGAATTCGTGGAACCTATCCACAAGAACTCCAAAAAGCTTGTGCAAGTGGCTCTCAAATCTGGCGGCCTTCTCGACCACGCAAGCGAGGAGCTGCAGATGGATCCCGAATACCCGCAGAAGTCGGCCACTCATGCATCATAAGTATTGAGGCTTCGCAGACATTGTTTGCAGTTACAACAGGTTACATACCGACTGCAGTCATCATGAGTGATAATGTTGATCGAAATTATATGTTTATTCCTCGTTCTCTTTTGATATTTTTTCACAGGCATGTCGAAATAATGACTTCGGTGGCAACAACACATTGTGATGAGAGGGTGGTCGTCTTGTCCTTCATAGAGACTTGGCGCGGTTAATGTTTCTGTCGCGAGCACAGGAGATTGCGGAACTGTCAGGAAATACGCACAGAAACGATGTAGATTGCAGCCTCTTTCGGTACTGGCAGTACACAGAGGCCAACCCCTGCACGGACCCGCCTTTGTTGGAAGCCGCGCTTCGCCTCGGGGTTGCAAACTACTCGCACATTCCTGCGTCGCTGTATCACGTTCAGTCAATCGTGTATTGCACTTTGAAAAACCTGCGCCAAAGGTACGGACTTCCCAATCAGCACGCACTACCATACAGCCTTTCTTGCTTTCCATCGACGATGCAACAGGATCCGCTTGTTCAATGCGAATTCTACGTGGAAGCTGTCACCGAGCGCGGGCGAAATCTGGAGCGCGAGACCATTCTGACCGGACTCTCGACTAGCCAAGGACTCTGCTTTACGTTCTTTTTCCACATGGATGTGAATGACGAGTCTTCGCCCTTTTACTCAACATTGCCGGACGCTGAAGCCTACGCGTTAGAAACGCTCGCGGGGACCGACTGGGGCGCCGAAGTGTATTTTCTGTTTCCAAAGGCGGTGCGGAGTTCCACCAAGATTCAGGAAGCGTTTTTCAATCTCTGCGGTGAACCGCTCGAAATCGGAAACCTGACCGGATTCTCGTTGATGCACTGCACGGAGCTGGCGCAAAACAGGTGTACGAGGACAAGCGGCGAGTGGTCTAATTTTGAGCGAAGTCGCAAAAGTTCAGTACCGGAGGTATCTTGGTCGGTCACTAGTAGGTACACAAATGCTGAAAATTATCTTCGCCTGATAAGAGAGGAGAAAAAAACGCACAGCAAATCTACACTGTATTGTACACACGTGCTGCATCGATTACCCTGCTAGGTCTGAGGCATCTAAACCGCTTGCAGTTGAAAAGAACATCACTGATTCTGTTGCAGAGCTCAAAGTTCTGTGGTGCGTTTCGATCTTGTGTGTGGGAGGAAGATTCGCACTGTTATTCATGTTCGTTGCAGTCGTCCGTACAACATGGCGTCTCAATGTTGCTGAAGAATTTCCTTGCATACGCCCGCCTTTCTCTCTCGCAAGAAAATCCAGAAGCTGCTGGGCTCTTCAACACGCTGGAAGCGCGCAGGGGTCGAAACTTGTACTTCGAGGGCGCAAAGAAGATTGGAGGAACAACGGGATCACGCCCCTGAAAAGTCATGGAGTCTCTGAACGTTTTGGTTCTGAAATGAAACTTTTTTGCACGCAAGTGCTGCAACGGAGCGCGTTGTACAACTCCGTCTTCTATACCATATGCCTGACGTGGATGATCATTTTATTTATTTGTAATTTCAAGAAAAAGATTACAAGATGAACTTACCATATGAGCAGCACGCACTCGTTTGCAACGTGCGGACGCGGCAACATTTGCCGCGTACTTCGGATGTATTTAAAAACTACACAGGCTATTTGTAAATGCATTAACTAACTTCGACATCAACTGCCGATGGATGGTTTCATTTCAGCCGCGCGAATGTGAACAAGGTGACGAGCGTGTCAGGATTCTGTATGATAAGGTGCGGAGAAACTCATGAAGACATGAATTTGTAAACGTGGAAAATCCTTTTTTGACGAGAACCAGATGAAAACGAAACGAATTGAGTAAAGAAGGTCTGTGATTTGTTTTCCACATTCATTTTCCATTCCTGTGCCAGACATACGTTGTGATGTTCATGCAGGCACTGCAGTGCAGGTGTATTCTTAAATGGAGAAAAAATGAAGTTCTTCAACGACGATCACGTCCACTTTTGTTTAGCTTTATACATATTATTCCTCCCTTTTTTGATGCTTCAGTGCGATGGTAGACTACTCTGGCTTCAGTGCGATGGTGCATTTGTTGTTTCCATGTGTAAAAACCTTCGAAATTTTATTCAAACCAAGGTTTTCTCCTCACTAGCTTATTCTCGTTCTAGAGATGTTGACATTCATCTTCAGTGTCACAGATTATAGCAAGAGGGTAGATTCCCGTTAGGGCGGATTTTTGTTTTCTGAATTCCCAAAGCAGTCCAAAAAACCGAAAAAAGATGGAATTGACAATCCGGAATCTCGCAGGAAATTGTTTGTGTGTCGTTCCAGTGGACCAAGACCAGGAGAGTATTCTTCTCCGAGATGTGAAAAAAATCGTTGCGGAGGTTTCTTGCTGTAGCGGACGCCATAGCATTCTCTTCGGGCAGGGCATTCTAGTTGACCAGAAGGTCTTTGAAGACGCTTGTTCGAATAGCATGATCACGGAACGACCCCCAGCGCCAAGAAATTTCCAGGAGACCGAGCTACCGCAGGCCGCCGCGGAGCAGTTTGCACGGAAGTATACGACTCAAATCCGAGAGCAGGGTGATGTATCTGAATCGCGGGAAAGTTGCCTCGAATCGCTCGTGTCGGCAGAACCAGTTGCGCTAGCAGCGGATCACTGCAATGGCCCTCCTGCCGGAAGTCAATGTGCCCCGGAACCCGACGAACACGAAATGAACAAATGCATCGTGAGGGATGGGCGCTTTCCAGTTCCGTTGCGGAGGGAGGACGGGCAGCGAGTGACGGAGATCCAAGTTGTATTCGACAGTCGTGCGGAGGAAGCGTTTCGCTGCGCCCGTCGCCGCCTTGAGAAGACTAGTGCGTCTGAGCAGATCGAGTTCTTGCGGTATTCGGAGTGTCAGTCATGTTCCCAATTTATTGACGACCTTCAGGTAGTTGCCCATCACGAAGTAGCGGACGACTTACAGACCGACCGCGATCTCCCGGAAGAGTTAGACGAGAGGACGCATATAGTCTGTTGCTGCTGCAGATACAAATTGCAGGAAGGGGAGCTGCCGTGTCTCTGCGAGCAATTAACTGACATATATCCTCCCGGGGTAGACTCAAACTTCGGCACGTGCGATTTCGAATTTCGCGAGGCTTTGGTCAAGCTTGCAGTCGGGTCATCTTTAGAGTGGGATCCGTGTTCGAACCCGCAAGCAATAGAGATGGGAAGTACTGCGTCTCTTTTTCGATCAAGCAGGGACCTCACTCTGTTGGCATGTAGCATTAATGGCCTAGCGCTTCGCTACGCGACCCCAGTTTTACGCAAGGACTCGGATTTAGTCCGGGTCGCAGTGTCCAGGGATTGGCGATCTTTACGCTTCGCAGATGTACTCCTAAGATCCTCGCTGGAGTACGAGGACATTGCTGAGTGTGCAATCAGGCAAAACGGATGGGCCTACAAGTATCTTCGAGGCGACCTTCAGCACAGTATTTCCATGATCAAGCTAGCCGTGGAGCACAAACCGTGGTGTCTCCGTTGTGTTCCTGCGGAAGTGCGGGCTTCATCTGCCGAAATACTTGCGAGGGCTGCAGCAACCGACGGAGTTCCCGCGCTAAAATTTTGCGCGCAGCACCTGCAAACAAAGCAATTGCTGCAAGTGGCGGTGAAGTCGAATGGACTAGCGCTGAAGTATTGTTTGCCCGAGCTTGTTGATAATAGTATTGTGGAGCTCGCTGTGCTGGAAAATCCATACGCTCTTCGGTTCGTAACAGACGAAGCACTCAGAAGTGACGCTGGCATCCTACTGAAACTCCTTCGCGGTCCGAGCCCGATGCTGCATGCTTCTTGGCATTTTCCATGGAAAGGAACGACAGATAGCTTAGTTCTTGGCTTCTGGAGCAGGCACTGTGTACCACAAACCAGAAGTCCTTCAATTTTTCCACTCCCATTTTTTTCCGCCAAAAATAGAAGTGGCTCGTCACAGTCTTGCGGCGACGAACTCGCTAGTGAGAGCGCGGCTTGTTCTGAACACAAATGCACGCCTTCCTGCGGTTGTTCCGCGTGTTTGCTCGCTAGTACAAAGTGGAATCGCACGCCAGCCCGATTTTCGAAATGTTTGCGAGCTACCACAAATGAAACGGTGAGGCGACACGCATGTCTCTTGCAGCGGTACATTCAAGTCGCCGACTTCTGTGGAGATGGAGAGCACATCTGTAACGCAGTTTGCCACCGGCAGGGGCACTTCTACCCCACTACTGACGAGTTTACTGAGAGCAATGATGTTCTCACAGCGCACTTCGAGAACCTGCAGGAGGAAGAGTTCGATTCAGTTCCAGAGGATCTTCCTGCCTTAATTCTACAGAAAGGGAAGCAAGCTGATCTCTGCGATAACACGGAACTCATTCGCCAGTGCGTCAAGCTTGACGGACTTTGCCTCGAGCACGCCAGTCTCCGACTCCGTTGTGATCGCGAAATTGTCCGAGAGGCAGTCGCTCAAAACCACGACGCGCTGCTTTTTGCAGAAGGTGACCTGCGTCGAGACCCGGAATTCATTGTGGAACTTATGGAACACGCGTGCGCAAGTTCGTTTTGGAACGCAGACAAGGAAACTGTGCAGGATGTTTTACTTCTCGGACGTGCCGGCAGGGATCTCTCGTTACGGGCCTTTCGCGCACGGCT